TAAAGGGATAGACACTTGCAGGTATCCTTGAAACAGTTTCACGGTCTTGGCCACTAGCTGGCTTTAGCTCTCCCACTTCAATCTAACTGCTCTTGAGCCAGGAGAGGTATGTGGACTCTGGTTGTGAAGTGCGATGTAGGCAGTGGTTAAGGTATTCTCCGGAGAGTGGCAAGAGACCCTAGAAAGTCCAATGTCAGCTTTCTTGCCCCCACCAAGTAGCATTTATGAATCAAGGAGAAATGGACAGAATGAATAAGAGGTGGTACACTCTTGGCTTTGGCTGTCCTCGTTCTTAATGCTTTGTCAAATCTTCCTGGCCTCCAGTTGGTACACCCTCCAAACCATTCTGTACACCATCAGGTGGCTCTTCATAAAACACCACTTTCATCAGTTCCCCCAAACCTCCAAAAGAACAATTTCTATTTGTTTTAGTCCATATTCAAAGTTCCTCAAAATTCTAGCCCTACCTTACAAAGCTGAACTAAACCTTACCTAGCCTAAACAAATGAATAAATAAACATTTCCTGGCCTCTACACAAACTGTCTACTCGGTCTGAAAACAAACCAGAGTTTTTCGGACCGTAAACTCTTGTAATGTTATTATCCCACAACCTTGGAATACCCTCTACTAACTTCTCTACCTATATTGACTTCATTGAACACATACTATATACCTCCTTTGGCAATCAAAGTTCATTCTGCTCCCGACCTTCTCTTCCCTATTACAGTGAGCATGGTTACAGCGACCATATAGTCAGGATCAGATGACAATTTGGCAAATGTATCTGTGCTATGGGACAATCAAGGAGACACTACTTAAAATGGAGGCTATTCACTCCTCTGAATTGTATGGGAGAACTCCTTGCCTCATTAGTTTACCGTGTTGTCTGTCCAGCTACACTGGAGGTATTGGAGGCTGAAGTACCCTTCAAGGCACCAATCACATGGTAGATATGCACTAATTTTTTCAGTAAGTGTTTGTGTTAGGACTAGCGGCTGATGTTCTTTGTCGGAGTTTGGCAACATTATTTAGGCGTGGCCCATCCTGTAACTAAGAAGGCAGTGCACAAGGAAAATTAATGAGAGTAGACTAAATTCCGCAGAAAATACATTGTAACGGAGGAGATGAGCCCTTCTGCTGAGTAAGCAGAGCCCTAGTAAGGTGATCCTGCCTTCTTCTGAAGAGCTATGGAAAGAAATCACCTTGTGGGTGGTGAAACAGTCTTCATTTGCAGGGGGGATTTTAAGTGTCTCTATGGCTATAGTCGGCCACAAAAATCTCCCCATATTTAACATCTGCTCCTTCTTCAAATTACCTCAGCATTTTTCTAAGATGCTGTGAATATGAGCGAGGAGCTCTCACTTTTCGAAAGTGTCCAGCCAAGCCAAAGGGACATTAACTAGAGGTAGGTGGGGAAGCGGACCAAGAAGCTGGTCTCACCAAAGGAAGTTAGTTTATTCCCTGGGAAAGAAATGAAATGTGAGTTGAGTTCAAGAGGTAGAACAAAAACCATTTAAACTCCTCACAGCTAGACTAGAAATTGAATGGAAGAGGTAGATTAGATGGTAAAATATGGCAATAAATAAGTCAGAAATTTCCTGTAACCTTGGGAGAGAAGGTGATAGTGTCAAACTGCTTCACACTGTTTTTGGATATCAAGAGAAGCTCTAGGAAGTCAGCAAACGTTTTTCTATAAAGGGCCAGATAGTAAATGTTTTAGGTCTTACAAGCTACAAACCTATAGTCTTGGTGGTACAGTCTCCTTTTTTTTTAATGATCCTTTAAAAACATGTTTTTAAAAAAAGATTTTATTTATCTATTTGACAGAGAGAGAATGTGATTGTGCACAAATAGGGGGAACAGCAGAGGGAGGAGAGGGAGAAGTAGCAGGCTCTCCACTGAGCAGGGAGCCTGATGCGGGGGCTCGATTCCAGGACCCTAGGACCATGACCTGAGTCTAAAGCAGATGTTTAACCGCTGAGCCACCCAGGTACCCCTAAAAACACTTTTTTGTTTTGTTTGTTTTTTAATTGTAGCAGCAGTTTGTCCATCTTTACTCTAAAAGATGCTACATGTGTAAATTTCTGTTAGATTTCAACTTGAAAAATTCTCTTCTTGTGGTTAAGATTAACTGCAGAATGGGCAATGGAAACCCTCTAGGGTAAATATGAAGATGATTTTGAATGAGGTAAAGACTAAAACCTAAGACTGACTAACTAGGGATCCTCAGCTAGCAAAGAAAGCAAGTACTCTCAGCCCTGAGTGGCTAGCTGGAGGAGGGGAGCAGGTTTGAGTGAACCTAAGTCTGTGCAAAAGCTGTTCAAAGTGGGGGGAAAATAGGACTGTGATTTGAGCAGGACAGTGAGCATCTGGCCAAATTAAAGCTGGGGAACTCCCTGAGGAGCCTTCAGAACAGACCCAAACACAGTCTGGATGCCGGGGTCAAAGAGAAGCAAATTTTGAGGGTGTTTTTTGACCACAAAGGCAGGGGGAAGTCCTGGGCTTTGTAATTACCAAGCAACTGAGACTGCACTTTGGGAATAAGTGAAATTTCTGCAAAATGTAACTTACCTGCCTAGGATCAGTCTAAAATACCATAAGGGGTGCAGCCTGATGGATGGAAAGAAATTATGCCTGAAAAATTGGAGTCTGGGGACACTGGGAGTTCTGGTGCAAGAGAGGAAGAGGTTAGAAAGGTTGCCTTTCCCCTTCCCCCACAGGAACCACTTTTCACTAGGGAGCACAAAGCAGGCCAGAAGGTAGAAACTACAGACTTTCTAAAGCACACCTGACAAATATGCTTATGAGAAACCAAGGGAGGAGCTCCCCCCTCAAATGCTGACTGAAAAGACCTGAGGGCAACAAGTCTTAAACTGAGATCAACTTGTCAGGAAGATAGGAAGAACAATGCCTCCCTCACCCAGCTATAGCCCAGGGCCAGAGTGCTCAGAACTGAATAAATGCTCAGTGCCTAATTGGGAGGAGGAAGGGTTAGTGTGGGTGGTAACAACACTTACCACACGTGTGCTGAAAATAACCCTATATTTCAGTTTCCACAGTGTTTCCACAACCACTGTTTGATTTGAAGCTCACAAGCCAGTGTGATCCTAAGATAGGACAGAGATTATTTTCCCAAGTTTTACAAGACAATGAAACAGAGGCTCTGGTGCCCAAGTTCACACAGCTTTCAAAAAACAGCAGCACACTCAAATCCCTCAATATTCCAAGTGCAATGCTCATTGAGAATTTAAAAGGCTCTTAAAGATTTATTTATTTATTTATTTATTTATTTATTTATTTATTTGAAAGAGAGAACACCCGATAGCGGGTGTTGGGGGAGGCAGTGGGAGAGGGAGAGAGAATCGCAAGCAGACTCTGCACTGAGTGTGGAACCTGACTCTGGGCTCAATCTCAGCACCCTGAGATCATGACCTGAGGTGAAACCAAGAGTCTGATGCTCCACTGACTGAGCCACCCAGGCCCCCCTGAAAGGGCTTTTAAATGGAAACAGTTCCAAAGCCAGAGTCTGCATTCTCAAGAAAATGTTGAGGCTAACCTAAGAAAGCCACAAAGATGGAGTTGGGATAGTTTTTCATCCCAACACCTTCATACCCAGGGTTTTCACCTGAAGCAGAAGGATACACTAAGCCATGACTTAACCTGCTCAGTTTGTTACAGATGCTGAGAAAAATAGCTTTGTTTTTGGATTTAAATGCAAAGTAGGATGGGGGAATTGAAAAGGGTTATAAATGACTCCTGTGCTAGGTGTTGGGGATACAGCAGCAATTAGGACACTGTCTATGACCTCAGGGGAACCTCAAGTCTAGTTGGGAATCCCAAGATAAATAGATACAAAACAATGTGATAATTAATCTGATAGAGAGGGGAACTAGGATGAGAACTGAAGCCCAGAGAAAGAGGGGCAGGAAGTCCCACAGCACACCACCATGCTTCCCTAACACACTGACCCAATGCCTATCCCACTCCGGTACAAGAGGGGAGCAGTAATGCTGGAAATGTGATAGTACATGAAACGTGATCCCTCGTGAAATGAACTACATACATTGTAAAACGTAAGTCATGGCTCTATTGTTCTATTACAAGATGTAAACTGCAATTTTTTTTTATCAAGCTAGACACTATAAACTGAAAATCTATGAGCAGTATTCCCTTCTTTTCCACCTTCTGACACTATGCTTCTAGAAAGGAGGCTATGGCACTAGAAGGGTGGAACACCAAACTTGAGTTAAAAGTCTGGTTGGTTAACATCACCTGGGTAGGAGCATGACTGGAGTGCTTATAGGGTAATGTTATGTTCCCAGATTTATGCTCTTTGATCTCCTGGAGATAACAAAGGAGGAAAGTTTATCCAAATGGAGCTTCAACCTACTGGCTTAATTTTGTCACAAATGGAACTGCTGTTGAGGAAACCATAGTAGAAAAAATATTGTCACTTAGGATGGAAAAACTCATACAAGTTTCCTGCTATTACCTTATTGCAAGAATCTCAAGTACTTTGTTCAAGCCATCTATTGTCTTTTACATAGAAATTACTTGGCTTCACCAAAGTTTCTTTTTGTCGATCTTTGGTATAGAAATTTAAGCTTGTGTAGAAATCACCTGGTTTCACAGATGGTGATTACTTTATTAAATAAAAATAATAATAGCTACTATTTATTGAGTACCCACCATGTTCCAGGCCTGTGTGGACAACATCATGAAACCTCACAGATTTAAAGGTCTACCGGCCATTCCTACACCCCTGCAACATGTAATCTTCCTAAGTGCAGGCATTTAGCCTGTTTTGTTTACCAGTGCATCCCAAGTGCTTAGAAAAGCATTGAAAACATAGTGGATCCTCAATACATAGCCAATAGATTATAAAATTGAGCCTTGAGAGGTTAAGTGATTTATCCGAAGTCACATAATCAATTGAATATGGGGATCTTAACCCAGTTCTATCTTAATGACAATCTCTTTGTTTCTTCCACAACACTAGGCTGCCTTTTGGTAAAATGCGTTCCTGGTTTACGGTTGTGATGGAGGCATACGAAGTGACACCATCCATAAAGTCATCTGGAACCATCTTCTTGCCATCAAAGTTACTGGTGTCTTTCTAATTCATCTACTCTCCGGCACTCATGCCTGAACTACCTTTCTTCTAATCTCAAAGCATTCATTTGCTAGGCACCAAATAAACATACCACCTTCTGCAGAGACAGTTCACACCCACATTTCCACACCACTCTTCAAAACTCTCCATTTATACACCAAGATCAAGGCACTGGGCAAAAGAAGGATGTGGATGACACTTCTGATACAGCTCCCTACTCTGGCATTCAGAAAACTTGTCAGCACTCTGACAAATGTCAGCAGTAGAGAGTTGCAAGGAACCCCAAACATCATCTAGCTCAATGCCTCACCTAGTGCTGGAGTAATTCTAAAAAATTACTAATTCAGGCCAGCCCATGGGTATCACTAAGGGGGTAGGCAAGAGAGTGCCAGGATGTATGCAAAATTACAGGATAAGCCTGAAGCTTCTTCCTGGACCAATAATTTTCTAGATTGGGAGACAAAGTTAAATAATTCACCTACTGAATAAATATCACTTTTATATTTAAACCACTTCTGATATAGTTTATCACATAGAATACCCAACTCAGACTAATGTTTAAAGATAAACAGGAGACTGGGGTACAGGTTACTGCTCAGGGAGTATTTCCTTGAAGAAGTGATATTTGAATTGTGGCCTGATGAGTAAGATTCAGTTAGCAAGGGGAAGAGAATGGAATGAAGGGAGGTATGTGTTGTGTCCTTGGCAGGGAGAATAACATGTGTAAGAGTTCTAGGATGGGGAAAAATGCAGGATTTAAAGAGGTGGAGGCCTGAGTGCCCTAGGCCCACACTCCACAGTGAGAATGTTCTATTATCCCAAGATCTCTTGCAGCCCCTCCTAGGAGTCCTTTTTGCTCACATCCTGCCAAAACGCTGAAAATCCTGGGGGAGAAGGTCCAACAGCCTGGAACTGAGATGTTCACAGCTGCTCCAGCATCACCCCCAAATTCCTTAGCTAAGACCAGGAAGCCAGGAACACATAGTTATCATTGCTTAAGGATTTTTAACACATTTGCTAAAACCATCCACTCATTTAGATTAGAAACTGCTTGGTATAAAAGTAAACTAGTCAGGGGGATCTCTGGGTGGCTCAGCGGTTTGGCGCCTGCCTTTGGCCCAGGGGGCGATCCTGGAGTCCTGGGATTGAGTCCTGTGTCGGGCTCCCAGCATGGAGCCTGCTTCTCCCTCTGCCTGTGTCTCTGCCTCTCTCTGTCTCTCTATCATGAAAAAATAAATAAAATCTTAAAAAAAGTAAACTAGTCAGTGCATTGTACACACCATTGCAAGTAACAATATCAGCTAATATTTATATATTTGATCTTCACCATCACTTTTTGAAATAGGTGCTCTTATGGGTGCCTGGGAGGCTCAGTCAGTTGATCATGGCTCAGGTCATGATCCCGGAGTCCTGAGACTGAGCCCCACATCAGGCTCTCTGCTCAGAGCCTGATTCTCCCTCTCTCTCTGTCACTCTGCCTACTTATGCTCTCTGTGTCAAATAAATAAATAAATCTTAAAAAAGAAACTGATGCTATTATTACTTTTATTTTATGAATGAGGAAACAGGCTCCAAATGTACCCAGAGTCACATAGCTAGTGAGCAACAGAACAAAGACTATGACACCAGGTCCCTCTGGTGCTAAAACCCATATACTTAGTACCATGCTGCCCTTCTGAGCAGGGTTTGTAGGGAAGAGAAATTATGAGGACCTTAAACCCTGCAGGCCACTAAGCAAACCTGTTGTTCTACCCCCTGGGATTCCCTAAGATTGGATGGAGGGGCATGAAGAAATAAACTGTGTCAACTAGCTACCAAATGCCGGGCCTCGTGATAGGTAACCCTAAATGTGTTATTTCATTTAATATTCAGAGCAACTCCTCATGGTGGAAAAATTATTATCCCCTATTTATACATGTGGGAATCATGGCCCAGAGTGGTTAAGCTATTTACCTCTTTGGTGAGTCCTGGAGCTGTGACCAGAATCCAGGCTTTAGCGATTCCCAAAGTCTGTACCCTTTCCATCAGAGCACATCAAAGATGGCTTAATATTTAACCCTTCCCTGGTTACATATTTGCACTTTAACAGGGGTATTTCTTGTGTGAATCTCACAGGACCATGGCAGACTTGGAAGCAAGGCTGAGTGGGGACGGCAGGGTGGGCCTGCCTTAAATCACACCAGAATGGCATTGACCTACCTTCTTCCTGTAGTTCTTGAAGTGGGGCCATGTGCCAGGGAAGATAAATCTCCACTCCTGTCCCAGGCTTCTTCTCCTTCGACTGGGATAACAACTCTCAGACATTCTGGCAACCATAGAAACGGAGAGAGAGAGAGATTGAGAGAGAGAGAGGAATCAATCAAGAGTTTATTTGCAAAGGGTAATGTCAGAGGACGGACTTCCTTTAAATCCTGCTAACTCTGTACAGTTAAAAAGGTTACTGGCTCAGGAAATTGATTTCCCCCTGACTTGCTTTCAGTGGTTTGTTTTTTATCATTGACCAGGTCATATTCTTTCTCTCATCCCACCACCTACCTTTTGCAACGCAGACTTGGATGTGTGTTCTTAGGTCTTCCCACCTCTCTCTTGCTCTGGCTAACCTAGGACTTTGCAAACAAACCCTACTGAGAAGTATGGACAGCCTGGGCCTTTCTAAAATCTCAAGCTGCTGAAGGAGATATGGTATTTAGTTAAGCTGAAGTGAAGCCCTGCATAAATCATAAAGAGGCCAACCTGGGTTACTCAAACAGGACCCTAGGAGGTGCTTGGGGAATAGTCTTGCAGGCAGCTTTATTTTTCTACAGCCGATTTACTTCCAAAATGCTGGGGCCCATGAGTACCCCAGGAGTAACTTGGCTCCCAGATGCTGGAGCGGGTCTTGGCCTTAGAGCACAGTTCTGGTGTTGTTTCCTGAATTCCCACATTGCTGTTTTCCACACATGGATCAGGCTTCATACTTCCTGTGTCTGGACCGTTTGTGTGTGTGTGTGTGTGTGTGTGTGTGTGAGTTTATATACTTGCAAAGGGTGGAAAGTGGGGAAGAGGGATCCAAAAGGAAGAGTTTATGTTTCATATGCGTCCCTTTGTTCCCTTCCTGTTCAGATAAGCGGCTATATTCTGACCAGCTGGCTTCTGCATGTGCAGGGCTAGTATCCTCGTGCATAAATAGGAGTGAGTTTAGGAGTTGTCCTGAAGAAGGCTACTTCTCAGTGTTTGGCTAATATATTTTGTAGGGTGCGTTTTGGGGGCAGGGGAGGGAGAGTTATGTGGGGTCTTAAATCCTTAGGATTTATCTTCCCTGGTGTACGTGCTTGCCTCTGCTTTTGTTTCTAGATGCATTTAAATGATTTAGTTGTTCACCAGGCAATTAGAGGAAGATGTGCTCATTTCACACTCCCAGTTGACTTGGTGGGTGGAGGAGAATGCCACTCAACACAAAGCACTATGGTTTTGTGGTCTTTCCCTCTAGAAGAACCTAGCCAGGGATGGAGGAATAGATTACAAGCCACGTTCTCCTTCCTACTTTTCCGGTACACTGGGCCAAAGACTGCATGCAAAGGGCAGATTTTCAAAAATTAGAACATTTTTTAATTGTCTAAATTAAAAACCAGGAAATTTTACATTGAAACATTTCACTTCTGGTTTCTCTTGACAAATCACAAGTCCTGGACACATGGAGCCTGCATTTCCCATGGTGTCGACCAAGCTGCCGACCCTTTGCATGCCTGCTTTGCTGCCCAGAAGAAGGCAGCCTCCATCATTACCCTTGCCTCCTGACACCTAGCCTGAGGGTTGTCACCTCTAAAAAATTTTTTTATTGCAGTCAAATACACGTAAAATAAAATTTACCAGTTTAGCAATTTTTTAAGCATACAATTCAGTGGCACTAAATACATTCCAAATGTTGTATAACCATCACCACAATCTATTTCCAGAACTTTTTCATTATCCCAAACAGCAACTGTGGTCATTAAACAGTAACTCTGCATTCTTCCCTCTCCTCAGGCCCTGATCAGCACTAGGCTACCCTCTGCCTCTATGAATTTGCCTATTCTAGGCACCTCATACAAGTGCAATTGTACATTTGTCCTTTTGTGTGTGGCTTCTTTAACTTAGCGTAATGTTTTTAAGGGAGAAACTGATTTTTTAAGTTGCCTTCTTTTTTTTTTTAAGAGCATAGACACTGATTTTTATTGCACATTAAAGGAGCAGTTGCATTTTAGTGGGGGGAGGAGGCCAAATGGGTCAGGTGGTTTGGTGTAGAGGCTCTTTATTTACAAGCTTAAAATGATCATTATATCCATTATTAATACATGGAAGGTCTTGATGTACTTGGGCAACCCAGTGTCTTTACACAGGTGTTTTAGTTAGTGGCTAATTCTCCTGGTATCCCCCAGACGCCTCAACAGATTTTATAGTTAGGATATGAAGACACAGGGATGCTCCAGGGATTAGTTAAATGTGTGTGGCATACTTTGCTGTATAAACTCACTCTCTGGAACTAGTTTTCACTCCCTGCTCTCAACTTCCACAGCTTTTACTGTCAATCCCATTCATTTAACACTTAGCACATGCTTGTTAGTTGTTTTTTTTTTTTCTGTACATACCCTCGAAGGCAGGAGCCAAGTCTCATCTCCCTTTGTTTTTTCAGTCCTGTCCATAATAGCAGCTTGATCAATGTTTGTTGATGTTGGCCTTCCCCTCCCCCTTCCTTTTAAGTAGAGCTGGCAAAGCATAACTTTAAATTCAAACTCAGTTTAAACAAACTGCAGGGTTTTCAGGGTAAAAACAAAAGGAAATCTTGCATGGCAGGAGAGAAGGAACACCTAAGACTCCTGAAGAACTGGGCCAAGCCCAGGTACCAAAAAACCTGTTGTTTGCCACAGGCCTAAGAAGTGACTCATGCATAGCCTGAATCCACCATTAAATTCAGAGCTCTGTTCACTCTACTCCATCAAAATTCACATTTGGAGAAGAACAGTAATGCCCCAGGCAGGATCTGAGGGGGGTATTAAAGGATTTAAGTATTTTAGGGGTTTCCATTGCAGGAAGGCCCTAGTAGCTGTAGGGAAGACAGGCTGGAACAGTCTTTTGAGGGCAACTTCAAAGCTGGGGACAGACATTCGACAAAGAGCTACCATGCCTTTGCCACTAGGATTTGCTTCCCAGCCTTTTCCGTAATGGCAAAAGATGGGAACTAGACTCAGTGGCCTCTCAATAGGGGGACACATAAAAGAATCTTGGCACATTTGTGGAATGGAACATTGAGCTCTCATGAAAAAGAACTAAGTAAAGGAAGTTATACTGAGATGGAAGGATATTAAGAAATGTTGAGTAAAGAAATCCAAGGGGTGCTGTGACTGATGATCCCACTTATAAGGGGCAAAATTGGAACATCTCTATGTCAATAATATATTTTGAAGATTACACACCGGCAGAGAGAGAAGGGGAGAAAGGGACTATAAGAACAGAGTGGTCGAGAAGAACTCTTTACCCCTTAAGGTACAGGGTTGATTTTATCATGTGCATATAGAACTTTTTCCATTTTTCCAGCATTGTTGATTTTAACAAGTATCCCCCTGCTGCCACTATGATCAGTAGGAGTCTGCAGCATATACCCGCCCTGTCTCTGCCGTCCACTCTTCCAAATAAGGCTGGAATAATCTTCCCTTGCCTCACAAGCCATGTGCCTCCATGTCTTTAACACTCAAAATCTTACTTTCCCCATTAAAAATCACCCAAATAACTTCACCTCACCCATCTCCTGAATTATACCAAGAATTCATCTTGCCCATGTTCCTGCTTCTGAATCTTTGAGCACCCTGCACATCCAGGCTACCCCACCACATGCCAGCAGCCTATTACTCTTCCTGGACCCCGTTATATTCTAGGACCGCGTTCACAGTCAGGTAGTGTTTCCTTTGCGCACATTTCCTCTTATGTGCCTTGATCCATGGCCTCTCAGGAGGCTCCCTTTGGGAAGGCTTGAATTGGAAGTCGTTTTTTTCACAGGCATGAGTTCATCATAATAGCTCTGCATTGTCAAGACCTTTACAACTAGACTCATTTTCATCTTGTAACGTTTTCTAGGAAATATGGATCTGCAGAGAATGGTGATTTCCATGGTAAGTGTTCCCTCATGTTTGTTTTCACAAGCTCACTTCGGAGATACACAGCATGATTTCCTCTTTCAGTACCAGCACAACAATAGATTTAGGTCCTGGCGCCACTGCAGAACTGTTTAAAAGAGAAATCTCACCCACCCTGGTTAGGAAAGGGATAATTTATTATTCTAATTGTGGGGATCTGACTTCATATCCACCCTCAAAAGTGTAGGAAAAGAATTCACTTTTAAAAATAAAGTCACAAAGCCTACACACCTTGGATGTAGATGCTTAAAACAGATGAGCAGAATATTTGATTTTCCTGGACACATTCAAGACTGTCCACCATGGGACATATACAAGGAGGAAGACATACATGTGTGGAGTGGTCTGTGGTTTGCAGTTTTCACACACATTTCATTTTATTTTCATATGCCAGTGTTGTTAATAGGGTATGTCCTACAGCTTTTATTTATAGATAGAAAGATTAAGGCTCGGGGAAGTCAAGCGACTCAAAAAAGTTGCACAACTGGCTGGTAAGTGCTACAGTCCAAAGTGAGTTCCTCCCTTCCAAGTTCCGTGTCATTCTGCTACCCCTACAGTGTTCCTTTGGGCTTTTGTTTCCCAGATGTAAAAATGGTAGATTTTCAGTGTCCCAGGATGCTGTTCTTAACTGTCTGTGCTCTCAGGCAGGATCAGTTTTTCGCAGCAGGGAAACGTGAACACCACAGTGATACTTGACGTATTTCTTCCCCCTCCGGGCCTCATGAATTAAGGGGAAAGAAAAGTTACCTATTTGGGAATAGCGGGCCGGACCTTGCCACAAAGGTGTACGGGAGCCAGCCGACGCCACACTGTCGCACTCTCTCGGGAGACCGAGAAACCTAGCGTCTCTTCTTTCTCTGCTCAGCAGTAGCGGGGGGGGGGGGTGAGGGGGAGATGGAGAGCGAGACAATAGTCTCTTGTTCAGTTTTATTAATTTTGAGAGCGGGTGGGACAAAAAGATCGGACGGACGACGCAAGTGACCAATCCCGACCGAATCCTGCACGGGGATTCGCCAATTCGGAGCAGCGAAAGAACGCGGGGTGGGACTTAACTCTTCACCGCCCGCCCCGCCCAGGCCGGTCCTCCCAGACCGCCCCGGAGGCGGAGACTCCGCGGAGCCCCGCCTACACCGTCCCCGCTGCCAACGCGGCCCGCCAAAGGGAAGGGGGGCGGGAATGCGGGGGTGGGGTGGGAACGGGGAGGCTACCGGGAGCAGAGGAAGAAAGAAGGGTGTCGCGCAGAGCTGCGACCTGGGTGGGGGCCTGCTGGTCATAGGAAGCAAGAAGGGAAGGAAAACGGAGGAGCACTGCTCCTTCCTGCATTATTTTGAGCAGGCTTTGCGAGAAGCTGCTTTTCAGCATTTCTATTATTTGTGTTTCTTCCTCCGGCTGTGGGGCGGGGGGCTGCACGGCCCCTCCCACCCCTCCGCTGGTGTCGTAGATTATTGTTGGAGTCTTTGCAGAACCCTTTCTTTCCCCCCAGCCAGCGCTTGCGTAGCCTCTCAGGACAGCAGTCAGCACGTTGAGCCACGTTAACGGGTGGACGAGAACTAGGACCCTTCGCTTTCGCTGGAGTGGCTAGACCCCGCCGTTCAATTGTTTGAAACTTCCCCGCCCCCTGGCCCCGCCTCTCTTCCGCCCCCCGCCCCTCCAGGATCCTGGACGGCTCCCTCCCTTCATTCCCCGCCCTCTACTCCGCCCCACTCTCCAGTCCACCCCCCTTCCACCCCCCCACCCCCCCGCTCCTGGGCGGTCCTAAGCCGCGCACCGCAAGAAGAAAAGCCACCCATTCGTCCTCCTCCCCTACCTCCCATCCTTTGCCCAGGAGCTGCCTTCATCGCAGTCACGCCCCTTCCTTCCGAGGAGCTTTCTGGCTGCCCAAGCTGGTAGACCCCCTGATTTATTATTCCTCCATCTCCTTTCTGTTCTGCCTCATCCTCTCTTAGTTCTCACCGCCCCCTCCACCCCCCACCTCCAGCCTGTCTTGCGTCCGACCATCTGCTGCTCCACCCTCTGGCCCGGTATCCTGCCTGTCCACTGCCACCAAGGAGAGCCCGGACGGAGCAGTGAGGAGCGGAGCAGCCGGAGTTGGGGCTTCACCCTGCCCATCCCTGGCCTCCGGCCCGGGACCGAAGCCACTTGAGCGAGCAGAGAGTCGTCACCTTGTCTTCGGTGCCTTCAGGGGTAGGAGAAGCATGGTTACTTTACGCGGGGAACTGGAGCAGGAATCCATGGTGGCATGAACTTGATCGTGCCCTCGGCGTGAGTGAGTTGATCTAGATGTGTGTGGTGATGCCCGTGTGTTCTACTTTCTTTGCAGCTGGCCGTTGAGTTTTCCAGGATGAGCAGCAACTTAAATCGGTTAAAGAGTGTGCGCTCCTCTCCTGTCCTACGGAGATGCTAGTGGGTACCACTACTTGATGGTACTTTTACTTCCTTGCTCCTGGGATCCTTGTAGGTCCCTAGGTGATTAAGCACAAAAAGGAATGAGGGAACTTCAGGTCTACATTTACTAAGGAGGAATGTGTGTGCTTATCTCAGATTGCAAGATGCGTTCCTCCCTAAATGCTTAGAGTTGGGGTGGGGGCCCACACTGCCCTCCGCCGGGGGCTGTGAATTCTTGAAGTCCTAAAGTCTGGGAGTAATCTACCATGCTACACTCCTTTTGGTCTATGTGTGTGTGTGTGTGTGTACGTGTATGGTGGTGAGGACTGGATTGCCCAGTATCTGCTTTAGAGATGTTAGTGAGGACTTCTGCAGGATCATGCAGGTGTCTTTAGGGTCCCAAGCCCTGGTCACTGTACATTGGTGCGTTAGCAGCAGGATGGATCGATCAATATATGAAAACAAAGAAAAGGAAAAATGAGAGGGAAAGTGACATTCTTTGTAGTCTGGTAAATTGCCACTAATAGTAGTTTAATAATCATCTGCAGCAAGGGACTAGATACAATTAAATGAGAGAGGAAAGGGGGCGTTTGTGAGAAACAGCATTAGCAATCTCTAGCATGTGTTTTAGAAAGAATCGTAGAGTCATGTCTAATGTAGCTCTCCTTCCTCCTTCCGTTTGCCACCCTTACGTTAAGAGTAGAAGTTGGGAGGCGTTTAAAACTTTTTTGAATATAACCCTTTTCCATTCAGAGAGGAAGATAATTAGTCACCATAATCTCCAATAATGGAGGGCTAAGGTTATTTAAGTCTCCTTGAACTAGGTTTTGTGAAAAGTCCTTTCGTGGGCCAGCCTTTGTGAAGCTTTCTTGGTTAGACCTTTCAGCACCTTCATTTAGGAGCTAACAATACTTTGAAATAGCATTTTGGATGCAGGATAAATTTTCACCCATCTCCCACCTCTTTCCAGTCAGGCAAGCGTGGCAAACTTAGAAGGGTGGTGGTATTTAGAGACCTGTTACCAAGATGTCACCAACCCATTGCTTGTTTGGGAACAAATCATTCACTTTATTTTTAAATAGTTGTGTTGGTTGATTTTAACGGGGGGGGGGGAAGCAAAGCAGGAAGGGAGAGAAAGAATGTTACAGGGCGACAATTTTAAAGGCTATCGTCTTTCAGATCAGCTAGGAGGGAAAAGTTGGCCTGACTAAACTACATTTTATAACTGGCCTGGGACATTTTAATAGCCAGGTGGTTGTAGAGTAGTTGCATCTATTTACAGATGATAACTCAGGTTCCAGTTATTCTGTATGGGTTTATCCGGTGTCATTTACAGACACTTTCTGGCACTACATCATACTTCATTTTAAGATCCTTCTTACTTTGGAAAACCCTGTGGCTCTGTAAAATTGAAAGTGCTTTTCCTAACTTCATAGTCTAGATAGGCAGTAAATCTCTGACCATGCTTGTTGTAGAGTCACTTTTAGGGTGAAAGTGGTGGATCTGTTTACCTACGTAAAAGATTTTAGAAGGAAATTTTAAAATTCGCGTTCAATGCTATTTTGGATTTGGAGATTGGAAGGTCATTTCTGGTTTGTGAGATAGGAATTATTAGACAGATGCAAACCCAAGGCACTTTGTGGAGTTGCTTTTTCTGAAGCTTTATAAAGAGTGAATTAGACTGTTTCTAGAATGCCCTTAAGAACAGTCTATTCAGAGCGCAGAGGGATGGATGCTATGACCTTGAGGTCCCATTGAGTGCCAGAATTCTAAGTGGGTACATCTGCTTCTGTGCCTCTCCTAAGAGCTCTCTCCCAGGGCCTGTGCCTTCTTTAAAAGGGTGTCTTTGTAATTAAGCAGCCTGTCTCCCCCATCCCCCTTTCTTCCTTTGATCCAGCTTTTTAAGGCCTTTTTTCCATTTGGAGACAAGAGGAGTTTCTCACACTCTCCTAGTCCCCTCTTAAGGTTTCTTTTCCTTTTTCCCCCAAAAAGTGCCCCGAAGTTCTTGGGATGGTTAGAAGTTGTTTTGTTTTGTTGGTGTAGAGGGAATGTTACCAGTGAGGAGAGGTAGAGGATATATTCCTTCTTGGGAAATGCTTGTGGCCAGGTAGCCTCCTCCATGGAGACTGAGCATTTGGAATGCATGAGAACAGTCTATTCTTAGGGACTATCTGGAAGAAATTGTCCTTTGCACCCATTAAGTGCAGCTAAAACCCACTGAAAGGGGTGGAGAGAGGTGTGTGTGGTCGTGGCCCAGCCTTTTAGGATGGTAAGTGGGTAAATGTTCCCAAATCTCCTATTACATCACCTCTTTCCCCCATGGATTCAGTGGGTTTGGAGATCTGCTTGACAGGTTAATTAGCTTGGGACTAAACCAATTTGTTCAGAATTGTGCTCTATTGATTTCCTGTCCCCAGGAATTTTTGTTGGTGGTTTTCTATGATGAGTTGTCTTTAGTCTTTCTTACTTTTTCGTTCCTTGCTGCCTTTTGTGGACTTCGGTCCAAAATCTAGGGTCCCACCCCCAAGTCAAAGGTTAGAATTTGGTCCCAGGAACTAGGAGGGTATGAAACAGGCTGTACATCCTGCACTGCTCTCCTCCACGGTGAGCTTCTGACCCCTTTTAACCCAGAGAAAGGAGGGAAGTTGCCCCTTCCACACACAGCACACAAAATCTGAACTAAAAAAAAAAAAGGAAAAGAAAAATAAGAGGTCATCTGCTTTATAAAAGAACCCACTGCAAGTTTCATTGAAAGAACTAGCTTTCCTAGTTAGTGCCTTTGAGCTATGACTTGTTAATATAAAAATTCACTCTGACTGGGTCTTCTCAGAAACATCTTTATTGCATAAAGGAAGACATTAGAATTTTGTTGTAATGATTATAGCTTGAACTAAGTGAGACCATTATTTGGCCTTTGAAATCTTTTTGTTATATGGGATGGAGTAAATTGTCTAAATCATTTTGGCTTGTAATAATGCTGACCATGTTTAGCTCCAGCCTACAGCCACTTGTAGAAGGGAGCTAGTATGACTTTCTGAAAATAAATCAGACTTCACAGATTTTGATTAGTCTAAGGATGGGACTGCCTACCCCATATAAGTAAAAAAATATATATATTTATTGTATTTGAATAACCTCAGGACCCAGAAAATTGCTTCTGGTAAATAACAGCAATTGATGCCATTTTTAATCGAAGACTATACAATAAATTTTCCTAGTGAGCCTATTGGTGAATGGGACCTGGGCTCTAGGCTGACCTCTAACTTAGTTTACCACCCTTGGCAAGTCCTCTTGTAAATTGTGAGAAGTTGGACAGGGTGATTTTGAGAACCAGTTCTCAAAAGTTTATGGTGCCCTTCCTACACTTCTACTTGTGATGTGAATGTGAATGATTCCTCCTAGAATGAGGTACAACGATTGTTAGAGATACAATCATATAGTCATCTGGATGTTAAAAAAGCCTAAAATTATATATCAGTATAAATGCATTGTGTTTTGTATTTTAACAACATATCAAATTAAAGAGCTACGATCCTGCCCAAAATTTCATCAAGGATCTCATCATCCTAACAGATCACCCACTTTTGTTTTTCCTAGTTCAAATCCTTGTTTCTGTACTTAACATGAATTTTACATAGGTAAAATATGTGTGGGGGGGCACATAGAAATTTACAAAGTTTCTTTTAAATAGGAGCTCACCTAACACTTAGCTTTGTAAACCTGTGTGGAAGAATGAAGTGAGAACCTGAGTACGCATGAAGAATCATGTATGTCTGTTCCTTGAGTGCCAGGAGAGACTAAGAGACTTAATAAGTAATCCCTAACCCTTTCTGTGATTCCGGGGGGGGGGTTCATATATCTAGCAAGGCTGTTCACTCCAGTCCTTGGACCGCCTGTTACCCCTCCCCCATTCTTTTCAAGCAAAAAGGAAACTAGGGTCCACTGTTTACTTTGTCTAAACCATTAGCAATGGATTCTTAAATCACTGTAGCATGATATCCCATCAAGAGAGTACACATTTGGGTAGACTATAAAATTTCCCCAACGAGAAAGGAAAAGCGGGAAGGCACAAATGTTATGGTTTCATGGCTTTGGAAATATGTTTAAATTAGACTAAAAAATAGTAAGGAAACTCAGGATTTGAGACAAATAAAGACCTGTAGGTGTGGCAGGATGACCCACACATAATGGGTTCTTCATTTGAGGCTCTCACTCTATTGTGGAAGCTCAGCTACACAGTCCTTTAATTTTCCTTTGATAAAGAGAAAGTATGGTATACATAAATTCTCCATTTTGGATGAATTCATTCCTGGAAACCAGTGGCTCATTGTAAATTAGATTAAATTTCTTTAACCAGAATAGAAAAGTGAAGTATGGGTTTTTCGTCCTTAGAAAGTTCCATCAAGGGCACTGGGGTGGCTCAGTGGTTGAACATCTATCTGCCTTTGGCTTAGGTCATGATCCTGGGGTCCTGGGATCGAGTTTCTTATGGGCCTCCCTGCAGGAAGCCAGCTTCTCCCTCTGCCTATGTCTCTGCCTCTCTCTGTGTCTCTCATGAATGAATGAATGAATGAGTGAATGAATCTTAAAAAAAGAAAGTTCCAAAAAATTAAGTAATTCGTTAATTTTTTAAAAATAAAGTCCATGGGCAGCCCCGGTGGCCCAGCAGTTTAGCACCGTCTTCGGCCAGGAATGTGATCCTGGAGACTTGAGATCGAGTCCTGCGTTGGGCTCCGTGAGTGAAGCCTGCTTCTCCCTCTGCCTGTGTCTCTGCCGCTCTCTCTCTCTCTCTCTGTGCCTCTCATGAATAAATAAAATAAAATCTTAAAAAAATAAAAAGTACATATTTTATGATATGTATTCATGGGGAAAATGCAGGTGGATATATTTGCTAATATCTCATAGCTTTTGCAAATCTGCTTTTTTTTTTAACTCTATAGGCTGTCCTTGACATTTGTAAAGGCACTTTCATTATTGCCCCAACTCCATGAAATATCGTTAGATTGTGTGACTTGACGCCAGGATCTGAGTTTCTGTGCCCAGCCCTCTCTGACTTGCCATGTGACCAAGGGTAAATGAATTAGCTGCTCTGAGCTTCGGTTACCCTTCTGGGAAGCAGGGATATTAATACTTCACAGAGGTGTTTAGGCATGCTTCATATTAGACACATGCTTCGAGGTCATTGGATGAAAGGTGTTTGCATGATGGCAGAACAGGTTTATTATAAGGTCCTGAGCAGGTGTTCACTTTTAATGAGTTTTTCTCTCTTATAGTATACAGTGCCCTTCAGTGCCCTATTGCCTTACTGACTATAACTGATCATCCTAACATTGGTATTACTGACACTCCTGGCTCCTAAAAAACAATTAAACATTTTCATTCTTTGCGGTAAGTTGAAGTTCTAATAAGAGGACTCCAGCATCCTCCAGGATGATGAAAAATACCTTCAAAAAGAGACATTAGTTGAAATGTGCCATAGAGATCAGTGAGTTCTTCAAAGCCCTTCCAAAAGATTAAAAAGAGTACAAATTTCTGCGTGTGTGTGTGTGTGTGTGTGTGTGTGTGTGTTTTAAGGGAGAAAGTTTTAGTAATATTTGCTTGTGACACATACTGATGATAGCCAGTAACTGAAACCCAGCCATTGTAGTGTTTTATACACAGCTGGTTTTTATTAATGATGGAATATTTATGCTTGCTGTACAATTCGTGGCTCATTTCCATTTGTATGTCAGAACTCAAATACCCCCAAAGCAACATTAAGATAACATTAAATATACATGTGGCCAAGCTAGAAAGAGTGGATTTTGGGGGGTCTCCCTTATTCTTACTGGTGTTGCTTCAGATCACCATAATTTGACCCCCCAACTTTAGGTATTGGTGCTGATTTTTTTTCCTTTATATAACTCATAGCAAACTTCACATTTTGATCCTTTTGATATGGACAAATGATCTCCCCCCCCTCATAATGCAGATGAAACTGATGTATGTGTTTTTTAAGAGCATATTTTCCCTGCACATGCTTCTCATTATCCGAGAGGCCTGGACTCAATCAGTAAAGGAGCAGAGAAACCACATAATTGAAAGGAGAATGACGGTGGTGCATACTTGGAATATTTGTGGGAAGGGGATTGCTGACATCAGAAAATGTAGTGGCCTGAGTGTTAACAGCATTGAAGAGAAATAAGCTTTCTGTGTTTCTGTGCATTGAGAATTATTTTTAAGGGGATAAAAAAAATGGGCCAGGTTTGACATCCTTTTATGAAGTTGCCCTGGAAACTTTGATGAAGGTTGTTATAGAATAGTTCAATCAAAACCTTCCCCATTAGGAAGCTAATTAGTACATCACTTACTCATTTTGGTTGTTTTCAAGGGGCAGGATTTGCATTGAATTAATGGCATTTCTTTCCATATGACAGCAAACTAAGATAAAAATCACAGATGGGGAAAATTATTTAGATAGTCTATTTTGAAGAAGTCTAATTTCATCTTTATTACATTTAGGTTTTTGGTTCAGATTTTTGTTTCACTCTGTATACAGTGGTCACATTTTAGTTTAGTAACCAGTTTTACTTTTTGGATCATGGGCTGTAAACCAAAGGTTATTAATTTGAGTTTTCCATATGAATTGGAGAAATACAGTGAACGACAATAAGGTAACATTTGCTTTTTTTCTGCAATTAGTTTCTCTTTGCTCAGTGTGTGTGTGTTTGTGTGTGTGTGTGTGTGTGTGTGTCTTTGGGGGAGGCAAATTGTTTTTTTAAAAGCAAACAATTTTTTCAGCTAAGAAAATTTGGATGACCCTCTCTATCCCTAAAGAGCATTCTGTCTGCCCCAGGCTCTCCATTAGTCTTTCATGAGAGCACTGTGATGACTTTTCTAACCTGGTACTTTTTGTGACCAGGCTAAGCAGTTATCTGTTGGCAGCCTGGAGGAGACTGGTCATGTTGGGTACCGGAGTGCAGGATTCCTAGTGCGTTTGTTCTACTGTACTCTGTCTTTTTTAGGGGAATGAATACTTGGTGCATGGGATTTCAGGGCCATTTGTAATAGAATAAGAAGTACTCTGTAGCTAAATGCGTAATATGGGCCTGGTGTGGTCCTTTTCTCCAGAGCTAGTAGAGAACAGTCATTCTGTATGTATATTCCCTGATGCTCTGCCTGCAGCATATGCCTACACTAGTTTCAGAGAGTGGGAAAGTTGGCTGGGTTATATGATTTGTACTTTAACTGACTTTACCCTAGGCCTTCCCGGGAAGGCAGAGTCTAGATTTAGTTTTTCAATGGCAACTCAGTCAAGACAGGTTCCCGGGGCTTGCAAGTCAGGGTGAGGAGGAGGGGCTGCCTTTGGGGAGTGACTCAGGCCCATTGGTATGAAGATATGAAACTCTGGCTCCCGTCCATGCACCTGCTGGATGCCACACCTGCAGTCAGCACCTGAGCCCCACTCCGACACAAAAACCAGGCTGAAGGCAGATGGGGCTCCCTTCAAAAGGGGTACGGCAGAACAGGGAACTCCCAATTACATTAGTGCAGCACTCCTGCCAATTATATTTAACTTTCCAGTGTGGATAAGGGAAAGTGTCTTAGGTATTTTCTTATAGGTGCAGCGCACTGGCTTGCTCAAGAGTCCCCAGAGAAATTCGCTTTCCTAATGAGTTTCTCTTGTGAGCTGATCTCTTAAAGACTGGAGAGTCAGGTCCATAGAGGTTTGTGTCTAGTAACCCAGCCCAGGGCAGGAAGTCACCAGACCTGGGTTGTGATCCTGGCCCCACCAGTAAGCCCAGTAGGCCACAGTGAAACCTTGGTCAAATTAGTTATCATTAGCTACCTGATCTGGTCTTAAAGCTTCTCCAGTTGTAAAATGGAATCAATCACATCTGCCTTTATTTCCTCGCAGAGCGGCTGAGAAGGACAAATACCATAACAGAAGTGAAAGTGGTTTTCTCTCCTTAGAAGAAAAGCTGAGAAACTAAAGGTAACAGAATTATTGTTCTTGCTCTTGTAGGTCTTTCATTACTTGTCTTCTCTTTCTGTTGCCTCCAGCAAAGTCTTTGGGAAGTTGTGATTTACTCAATATGCAATATGCAGATCTTCTTGGATATTCCATGTACCAGTTATTGTTTTAGGTGTTGAAAAGGATACAGAAGAAAGTTATGCACCCAGCCAGTGACCTCTGAGATCTTATATTTCTAGCTCAATCTGATAGAGTGATTTCGGCCTGGGTATTTAGAAGCTTAGAAGACAAAATTAACTTCTTTTTCCTCTGTCTCTGTCTCTGTCTCTTTTACTCTCTCTGCATTGCAACCAGGGACTTCTGTCCCTGGGGCATGTATTGAATGTCTAGATTGAAGGTATGAGGGGCAGGTGGCAAAGCAATGGGGTAAATAAAAAAATTCCTCTCTCATTACCGCATTTGCAAAGTATCTGACCCTTGAATGATCATTTCTTTCAGGGGGTCCATCCTTAGCTTCATTCTTGGTTCTGTTCCGCTCCTGCCCTACAGGTCCTAGCCCACTCTTTGACCTTACCTGTTATCCATATGCTAACGACTCCCGAAGATCTATCTCAACCTATCTTTGGCCCCTCCCTTTCCAACTTCCCCAACATCAAGTCCATTATCAGATGTCTCCTATTCAGCTTGTTCATCTTTTCCTCTGGGAAGCTTTGCTCAGGCGGAGCAGAGTTTTTGGCAGGGTCCTCTGTGTTGCCAGCATGCTTCCCGTTGGATTGTGCCCCCTCTGCTTGACGGGGGAGCTTCTTGAGGACTGGACTCTGGTTTATTTCTCCTTTTTATCTACCCTAGGGCCTAGACAATGCCTGGCTACAGCAAATGATCAATAAATATTTGTGGAAATGACATTGTGTGTGTTATTGTACTGCATTTGAGATGGGTCCAAAGTCCAGTGGCAATACCACGGAGGGAGAGAGAATTAATTTTCCAGATTGAGCAGAGTTGGGGGTGGAGGGAAGATGGAGAAGGATTAGAGAAAAACCTTCAAGGAGAAGGTGGAAAGTGTACCTGGCCTCTTCTGAGAGCTCTGACTAAGCAGCCCAGGAAAGAAATGCCTGTTGTGTCTGCTCTTGCTAAGACAGGGCATCTCTGGCCTGTTGCTGTCTCCACTTAGGACTGGATGACTTTTATGGTTGGGTCTGCAAATAAACCTCTGTCTATAACACATTGACCATTTCAGACAGGTGCCACATAGTCATATAATATTAAACAGGGCTGACCTTAACTGTGCCACCCTAACTGTGGCTGAAAATAGAGGTACACACACAGGCTCATTGGTCATGTATGCTTAGTTCTATACAGAAAGATACCCTTGAAAATATATTGAAGATTGGCATCTGAAAACTAACAAATGTAATTCTCCAAATGTAGCAGGCTGGGTCACTAGAACTGAATGTCTTCAAACTGACTGTCAGATCTTTCCAAGGGCAAAAATGAAACATGATATAAGCCATTACAGGCCATGAACCTGTTCTCACCCACCTGATGCTTTTACTAATTAGCTTCTTGGCTGGGTGGCAATTTGGGGCAAGTGCATGCAAGCTGGATTCACAGGGGAGCCCACATTCCACTCTGCCATTTCGCAAGTCGCTGGGATACTACACTGCTTCTCTTGGCTTCTTTCCTTTCCAGGAGTCCTGGTCTGCCCTGGTGAAAAAATGGGAGAGGAGAACTCTTCCTTAAATGAAGGAGAGGTTTCATGGGGCTTTGGTATTTTGCGACTCTTACTTTTTTTTAGTGGGCTGTCTAAAAGCATTCATGCACCTTGACCCATTAATTTCACTTGTGGAATTCTATCATTAGATAACACTCCAGAATATTGAGAAAGGCTAAATAAATCTTAAAGACGTTTTTGTTACATTGTTTAGACTAGGACAAAATTGAAAGCAATTTAAATGTCCTAATAATTGGAGAATGGGTAAGTGAATCTTGATAAACTCCTATCATGGATTATTACAGAATCATTGCAGTGCTTGTTATGAAGTCTACACCACAGTCTATACCATGGAGAAAGTGAAATGTAGGATCCAAAATTATATGTACATTAATATGTCATGGCTTTGTAAAAACACAAATGCACACAGAAAAACCTGAAGGCAATCTATTCTGTTTTGCTAACAATGCTTAGGTTGAGGTACTGAAATGGTGAGTGATTTTTCCCCTCTCCATTATGAATATTTGCATGTTTATATAACTTGTAAAAATAGAAATAAAACAAAAGTGAGTAGTATAGCATTGAAGGTAGGAAATTGGTAAAGCAGGTGGCTTCTAGGTATATTTTTAAACTTTTCTCAGTTTATGCTCAGTCTGATTGCATGGAATGTGTATCCTTTTCCTGAGGCAAGAAGAAATAGGATGGGATGACATGCCCTGTTCCTCCCTTAGAATGGGTTGTATGGAGGGAGGTGATGTGGTAGGGGCAACAGGATTCTTCTTGTTACTCAATATGTCACTGCTCTTGAACACTTCAGGGTTAATCACCTTTGTTGCCTATTAACATGTTCAAGTTAATTGCTTTAGAGTAAAGAAAAGTAAAACTGGGACCCAGTTGGCCACACCTTTGAGTTAACCATCTCAGAAACAGATAACCTGACACTGATTGTCATGAAATTTGGAAATACCAAGGCCTTGCTGTGGTTCAAAATAATCTTCCAACATAATCTAGATATAAGTAGAGCTAGAAGCAAAGAGGTGGGGCTGCCTCAAAGCCTTTTCTTAAGCCAGTGCTGGACTTACATAAGGTCAAATTCCAAGTTAGTATGATGTTGGCAAGACCCAGAACATGGCCATGGACACATTGATCTGTGGAGGTTCATGTTACTCTCTGACTCACCTGCAAATCTTGGCCTAAAAAGGAAAGATTTTGCAAGGTCCTTCTGCCATACTTGTAGCTACACACATCTCTCTGTCTCACCTCCTTAAATTTTTTCCCCTGCCATTAACATTTGACTTCTGATGAAATTGGAAAATTGGTGGTAGCATTGAGCCAGGTTTATAGTCTCTCAAAACCAGAGTCAATTCAATCTCATAAATGTTGATTAAGCATCTTCTATGTACAAGCTAATATACTAGATCATATCTTATAGTGGAAGGACTGTTGCCCTGGGAGTCATAAAACCTGCATTCTGGCCCTGGCTCTGACCCCTGTTAAACTCTGGCACCTTCATATACAGACCACTAGATGGTCTTCTTAGAGTCTTTCTAGTTCTAGCTTTCGCTGATCTAAGAACCTCTGCACAAAGACTGAGTTGCGAGTAAAGGTTTTAAAGAAAACCTTAATTCATAAAATTGCTGTGGTCTTCTAGAAAAAAAAGGCCACTTTGAAATTATTATAATATTAATAGACTTTATTGAGCCTTCACTATGTTCCATGCTCTGTGCTTAGCACTTTACATGGATTACCCCCCTCCCCCGCAGTCTTTATAACAACACTATGAGGTATGAGCACCATTATCTCTATCCTGAAGATGATGAAGTGCAATTTGGGGAGGTGAAAAGAAATGTATGAGGTCAGCTAAAAAGCCATAGATCCAGGATTTGAACTTAAGCAGTGTGAATCTAGGCCCTGTGAATCTAGGCCCAGGCTCTTAACCATGGTGTTTATACTGTCTGCTCGTCACGCATAGAAAGGTTAGAGATAACCTGCAAAGGAATTACTATTTCTCACTTCCCAAAGGAAGTAAATTAGTATCCTGTCACAGGCAGGGTGTTCTCTAGGACACTTTAGGCTGAAACATGGACTGACCTGAGAGGACACGAGAGAATTCAGAGGGCTGTTTTGCCTTTCTCTTTGTGTGGGAATGTGTGAGCGTGTGTGTGTGTGTGTGTATTCACAAATGTATGCACATAGATATGTAGACATAGGGGAGACTTTAAACTGGCTCCTTTCCATTTAGCTGGAAGTAAAATTATATGGAACAGGGAAATTTAGCAGAGAAACGGGTGTCTTAGACTTAGGTTCTTCATCTTGGTTGGCAGAGTGAGGGTGGGAGGAAGAACAGGGAGAGGAGGTAGAAGGGATAGAAAGAAGATCTTATAGGGATATTTCAAAATTTATCTGAAGGCTAGGAACGTCGTCTGTCCTGGCCACCTTGTAATGTTGATTTTTCTGGGACACGGCTTGAGAAACATCTGGGCTCTCACTAATGTGTTTTGGTTCAACCTAAACTGGGCTTGATGGAGGTATCCTGGGAGAGGCCAAAGACTGCAAATATAGTAAGAATTTAGATTGGCCTTGCTGCCCTGTTGTTGTTACAGAAGAGTTGAATATATAGATTCAAATTGTATTTTTAAAGAGAGGACCATTGGAAATCCTTTTTTCCAGTATCAAATATCCTCAGGGACAGTCTGTTTGTCCAGGAGAAACAAGGTTATTTTATTGATTGAAGATGATGTCAGAACCCTGGCAGTGGCGTGATTAAAGCTGCAGGCAGATTGAAGGTTGCAGAGTTCATACTATTTTAGTTCTTGCGCATGAGACAAGGAATCCTTTCCCTTATTTTCTCTAATAAATAAATGGAGTAGTGTTTTCCTTTGTATGTGACTCTTAACATGTAGGCAAATATAAGTTCTTGAAGAAAAAAAATCTAAACGGGAGAGGAATCAGCAAAGGTTTTTTCTTAGGCTGATTTCTTTTCCTCTTTTAGACAGAAACAAAAAAGGCCAGGGGGTGGGGTGGTGGGGAGGGACAATCTGTGTCCGGTTGACATAAAGTGATTTGGGTTTTGCAAAGGATATGGACGAGAGGGGACAGAATTAAGGGAAGAGAGTTAGATTTTGGGCAAGTGAAGTTTTCTTTGTGAGAAGCTAGGTAAGAGCTGCAAGCCAGTCAAAATCAGCATGAAGAATCTAAATCATCCTGGAAAATAATTGTATGGTGCTTTCTTGCCAGGGGCTCAAATTTAAAGGCCCCAGGCTGTTTTCTGCATGTTTCGGTTGGAAAAAAAAAAGACAACTGTTTTGTTCAGAATCACACAATAGAAACACGGTGGTTATTTACCACACTCTGTTAATAATCCAGCTTTGATTCCAATTAAAGTTGTTCCTCTACTTTGAAACTAGGAAAAGACACCCTAAAGTAATTACCTTGCATATTGGAGATGATTTTGCTTTTGATTGTGATTATATGTTGAGCCAAAACAAGATTGAAAGACAAATTTCCGTGTTTGCTCACTCTGTATCTCTTCACTTGATTTTTGGCAACGTTGCAAGGATATAATGTTAAATTAATCACTGTGTGGTTTTGTGGATTTTTTTAAAACTTGGATGTTTTGGACAGGCTCCCAAAATACAGGGATGCTTGTGCACTTCCTTTGCATTGCCTTGCTCTTCAAATGGCATCTCTGATGTGGATTAAACCCTTTCTTTTAAGTGACATGAGTGAGTCATGACTAGGCTAGGACAGAAAACAGGAATGTGGATCATATGCATCTCACATAAACACGAACTCCTCAGTTTCATAACCATTTTGGTTGGGCCTGCAGGCTTTGTCAGAGGGTCAGCACAGCAATCAGAAATGAGGACTATCGCGGATCCATATCTGGTGGATGTTTGCATCTAGCCTTTACAACGTGAGTCCAGTAGTTTACTTTTGGGGAGATACTGGAGCAGTGGAAGTGCTGAGAAAGTGAGTGGAGACATCTTATCCTTGGAGAAGAGTTGCTGCTGTGTGTTGAGAAGAGCAATCACCTCTGCTGCTCCAGTGAGAACAGATGGGCCGTCAATCAGATTGTAAGCTCCGTGAGGGCAGGCACATACGTGGTGTGTCTTCCGTATCCTTCCTTGTGTCTAGCTCGAGGCTGGCAAATGTCTGGAATAGCCAGTATGCAATAAATACTCAATGACTTGGTGGAAAAGCAGTTTGGATTTTCCTCTGTCTGTCTGAGGCTGCAGCAGTTAAATCAGGTGCTTCACTGAGTATACTTAAAAATAACAAAAACCCCTGCCTTCTGATGACTGCCTTCCCTTCTGGGGTGTTGTGCAGTGAGACTCATCTGCCCTGATACTGATAGCAGTTTAAAAGTCGCACCCTTCAGGCAACATTGATTATGTCTTTTGTCATCATCCACCATTCCAACTCAGAATAGAAGCAGCAGCCTTTGGGCTCTGTGAGGCAAGAACAGAGCTGTCCTTTCCAGTCTCAGACCTGAACATTTCCATCCTCTGGAGATTGGTAGTGAGATTTCTTTTTGTCCTAACGGAAAGGGATTCTGTCACTCATATAAGAAGCAAATGGGAGAAGTCATTCCTTTGGAAGGACTGGTTTGGTTAACTGTTCTGGCCATTGGTGGCAAAATAGAAACGACGTTTTTATTTCTCCCTCCCTCCCCCTCCTGAACATTTCAGAGTGACCAGTGGTTGGACTCTTGGAGGCGCTTACCCTGAACCTGAGTGTTAGGGGAGAGGGAATCTGCCGTTGCGGTTTCTGGAGCTGCTCATAAGCAAGAATTCCCTATCCTGATCAAGGCTTTAAGCCTAAAAGAAAGCAGAAATAGGTATGGACCATCTGTGTGTGTGTGTATGTGTGCGTGCCTGCGTGCACACCTGTGCGTGCCCCTGTGCATGCGCGTGAGCCTGTGTGCGTGCAGGGTGGGGCGGGCGTGGAATGGGAGGGGGTGGTGGACTCTCAGGGTCTGGGGCCGCTCAATGTCTGGATTTCCCTGCCTTGTAGGATGAGTTCGCAAGTGATTTTGTTTTAACCATACATGCTCCTGTTTCCTTTTTTTGAGAGAGGAAAGGTAGCTCGGTAGTCATCTTTCCAGTATAAAGGTACCAAGAGAGATGTATATATTATGCTTGTCAGCCTATCAGAAAATCCATGCAGTCTGACAACATGCATACAGTCTGACAGTTTAAACACAGGAGTCCCTGGGGATCCCTGGGTGGCTCAGCGGTTTGGCGCCGGCCTTTGGCCCAGGGCACGATCCTGGAGTCCCGGGATCGAGTCCCGCGTCGGGCTCCCGGCATGGAGCCCGCTTCTCCCTCCTCCTGTGTCTCTGCCTCTCTCTCAATCTCTGTGTCTATCATGAATAAATAAATAAATAAATCTTAAAAAAAAATAAACACAGGAGTCCCAGATGGTCACTGGGAGGGAGGGAAAGGGCAGGCTGTTCAGGCCTTTGGTGCACCCTTCCCCAGAGAATATGATGAATGGGATTTTAAAAGGGTCTTTGAAAGGTTAACTGTGGGTTCAAACTGCTCTTTAGAACAATTGGATACCAGGTAGCAGTAATGATGCAAGAAGTGAAAAAAAAAAAAAAGAAGTGAAGATGACCTTTTTCTATCTACCATACACATCTTCTGGCCATTCCCTGCAAGACTAAAGGAAAGGGATCATGTTTCCAGAGAGATTGGAGGCTGTTTAATATCATAGAAATCAGAGCCTGGGAGCCAGGATTCCAGAGTTCTCATCTAAGAACCCGAGGCTGGTTAGGTTGACCTTTACTGTGACTTTTTCTGTGACATCATGCCCATTCTCCAACACTACTTAAGATCCTTAGAGTACAACTTTCATCACTGAACATGTGTACTGAATTGCAGTACTTCACATGACAGATTTTGTCCAAAGATTTTATGAGCCTCTGATGAATTTCTACGTACCGTACCATGCAGAGAGAGAGGGAGAGAGGGAGAGAGAGAGAGAGAAAGAGAGGTCACCTACTACTAGTTTCTCAGGTGGCAAAATAGAAGACAAGAAAAGAGGAATCCATTGCTTAGGTTTACCTGTAAATCCATTATCATGATTAGAACTTGAATCTTGAGTTGTCTTACTGCCAATACCTGTTTCACTCAATCCATATTTCTTCCTTAAGAAGAATTAGTGGTGGTGGTGGTGGTAGAGGGGGAGGGATATGATAATTGGACCCTTTCTAGAAGGATGACCATTTTGGTGTTCAATTTCTAAATGCTGTCAGAGGCACACTTCACATGAAAGAGGGCTTCCCATTTAAGCTCCTCCTAGCCAAACAACAACAGCAAAAACCAAAAACCAAAAACCAAAAAACCTCAATGACTATTCCTGGATGGCTGAAAGAGAAACTTTGTCAATAGTAATTATCTCAAGCCCTTCTCTTATTAAGCCAAGGCGAATCCAAAATGGACAATACAGAAAGGATTTTTTTTAAAGCTATGTTTCAGAGTTTTATGAGATCAGAGAAAACGAGTTGCATCAAGCTGGGATCATTTCTATATGGTGCAAGCGAAGCTCTCGTCACCTTGTATTTATTTTAGTTATTATTTGGCATTTTGTAGCTCCCTCCACATAATGACCTGCTTTACAGATCCTGCCTATACATTCTCCCTACTGGCCTGCCCCAAGTCCCACAGCCCATAAGAGTTGGACCTTTTATTTAAATAGAATACAGAGAGATGAACTTTCTGAGTAAGGACCTAGGAAAATTGCCCTCTCTGGTCACCCTCCCCGACTGCTCCAGGTCTCCCCAGTTCTCATAGAAGTTAAGTCAAGATTGGATATTTAACCCATGCTAAAAGAAAAAGAGGAAACACTGAGCTCTTATGCCCCTGAGTTCCTCATCATATCAATGGTAGAGCCAGGAGTCACTAACAATTAATCCATTAATTCTAGATTCAATTCTCTACTTTGTCTCTGGAGTGGAATCCTCACCCCCAAATACCCATTTTCTTCCCCTTTAGAGGAATGATTTATCCATCAACTGGGTGTTAAGCTTCCTGTTTCCCCTTCCCAGGTCAAGGGCAGCCCAGGTGCCCAATTTCTCTCTCTCTTCACAAGGCACCACCAGCAATAGAGATGAGAAATTCTGAAGAACAGCCAAGTGGAGGAACCACAGTGTTGCAGCGTCTGCTACAAGAGCAGCTTCGCTATGGCAATCCCAATGAGAATCGCAACCTGCTTGCCATACACCAGCAAGCCACAGGGAATGGCCCTCCTTTCCCCAGTAGCAGTGGGAACCTAGGCCCTCAGAATGATGTGTTGAGTCCCCAAGACCACCACCAACAGCTTGTGGCTCATGCTGCTCGACAAGAACCTCAGGGGCAGGAAATCCAGGCAGAAAACATCATCATGGAGAAGCAGCTTTCCCCTAGAATGCAGAATAATGAAGAACTCCCAACCTATGAAGAAGCCAAGGTCCAGTCCCAATACTTTCGGGGCCAACAGCATGCCAGTGTTGGAGCTGCCTTCTATGTCACCGGAGTGACCAACCAGAAGATGAGGACTGAGGGACGCCCATCGGTTCAGCGGCTCAATCCTGGGAAGATGCACCAGGATGAAGGACTCAGAGATCTTAAGCAAGGACATGTCCGCTCCTTGAGTGAACGACTAATGCAGATGTCATTGGCCACCAGTGGAGTTAAGGCCCATCCACCTGTTACCAGCGCTCCCCTCTCCCCACCACAACCCAGTGACCTCTACAAGACTCCCACAAGTTCCAGTGAATTCTACAAGGCCCAGGGGCCACCTCCCAGCCAGCATAGCCTGAAGGGCATGGAACATCGAGGCCCCCCACCAGAGTATCCCTTCAAGGGCATGCCACCCCAGTCTGTAGTGTGCAAGCCCCAAGAGGCAGGGCACTTCTATAGTGAGCATCGTCTGAACCAGCCAGGGAGAACAGAGGGGCAACTGATGAGGTATCAGCATCCCCCTGAGTATGGAGCAGCCAGGTAAGAGAGTTCCCTTTCTGTCATTTCCTGGCCTCATCCCCAACCAGCTTCTGCTGTGTGTTGGGAATCATAAGGGAAGAAATGGGCAGGTGTTTGGTATAAGAAACTCTGCAGTGCATGGCTGGCCCCTGGCTTAGTAAATTTCCTGCAAATCTGAATTTCTAGCCCCTTCAGCCATAATTAGTGCTGTAGTAACATTCCCTTGACTTTGTAGGTTGAGCATGGCCCCAATTGCCTAGTGGATGAACAGGAACACAAGTCTTGGTTTCTACAGCTATATGCTGTCCTGTCTCCTGGGATTGTGAAGAAAGGGTCCATGTTCCTCTTCTTGTGAGTTGTTAAGCCCTTCCTTGAGGAGCAGAAGCAAATTATCTTGAACGTTAATATGGAATATCGTATCCCTGTCAGTTATTCCCCTCCACAGAATGCTCATCACTTCTTTTTAGGAACGAATCGTTCTGCAGAATTACTATGATTCTTTTGGACACTAAATCAACACCTAGATATTACTATGGGGGGAGCCGGATATGTGCAGGTTCAGAATGTCACTTGCCTTAGACATCCTTGCAGTTCATGAACTCTGGGCTGCTCCGTCTTTCCTCCGTAGAGCGTTTGTTAGTTGCCTGTCACGTTTTTGGACAACTAAGTTAAACTCCCATCATGTTACATAGAACTTTGGGTCAGATTCTAAGATGCAGAGAGAATAATATCCCCATGACTTGTCATTGGTTCAGGAGGACAATTTCATGTTATTCACTTATTCCTAAATGTACTTCTGCAGGATTTGGAGGCCCATTGTCCCAGTGCTGTATCGACCAGACCTTACGATTCCATGATTCTGTTTGTTGTTCCTGTTGTTACTGTTGGGGCCATGTCTCTGATGGGTAGTCATTCGGCATATGGGGCAGAGGAAAGGATTCCACTGTGGCCAACAACGGTGGCAGTTTTATGTGGTATTCCTGTCCTGTTACCTTGGGTAATTATGGATAACTGTGAGGTTTGAAGTCCCTGGACCTGGGTGGGTGGGGGTGCTTTTTCCAGATCAGGCCTGTGATCTCTCTGACATCTAACTCTTTGCCTCCTGTCTCCTCACTTATTTGGGAAAGAACCACTTGGCTTGAAATTCATTGAGTGACTCAGGAGAGAAGGCAGTCAGGGGGTGGGAGTAAGGTGAAGGTAAGGGAATAAGGGAATGCACCTGGAATTTCCTGGTATTTCATCACCCCCCCACCCCCCCCACCCTCCCCACCCCCGTCCTGTTTTACAGCCAGAAGCAATTCACTTTGGGCTCCACCCATAACTTGGCCAGTTTAGGATTTTTTTTTTTCCCTCTTAACCAAAGTTGATTTCCTAACCTTTTTCAACCTCTTGTGTGCAGCTTTAAAGGGCAGGAGCCTAAGTTCTGATAAGTGGCTTAAAACAGGAAATGGGGGGGATCCCTGGGTGGCACAGCGGTTTGGCGCCTGCCTTTGGCCCAGGGCGCGATCCTGGAGACCCCAGATCGAATCCCACGTCAGGCTCCCGGTGCATGGAGCCTGCTTCTCCCTCTGCCTCTCTCTCTCTCTCTCTCTCTCTCTCTCTCTCTCTCTCTCACTGTATGACTATCGTAAATAAAAAAAAAAAAAAACAGGAAATGGGGCAATGGATAGGGCACTTTCGGTTTAAATGAGAGCGAGAACCTGATTCCCATCTGCCCAATGAAGCGGAAGACCGAGGGAGGGGTTGGTCATTTGGACTGCTTAGCTTAGTGGAAACCCATTCAAGCCAGCAAAATGTCAATGAAGCTGAGGATTTTTGTTTTACTCTTCCCATCAGCATGTAAGAGTCAGTGGGACTCTGTCCCTTATGTGGATGGGCTGACGTCTGTTGCCTTGTGGGAGGGGAGTATGTTGGCTGGGGTGTGGAGCAGAATCTGAAGCCCCGCTTAGCACAAGGCCCGCCTTCCCAGGAAAGCTATTTTCAGAACTCATTCACCAGTATTGTCTGTGATCTGAAATGACTCCCACAGTGTTTGAAGCTAGATGGAAAAGCCCTTTGATCTGCCTAAATAAATAATAAGGAGCCCACAGAGGGATTTTTTTTCTTGCCATACTGATTAAACCACCAGAGAAATTTAGCTGCATATAATTTACAGGAATATACTTATAGTTTCTCCTCCCTCCTATATTATCTGTGGAGCTCTCTCCCTATCCCCCAAAACAGTAGAGCCCATGCTGATTCTTCTCTCTTGAGTAGAATTTTAAAACACAGGTTAGCTCTATAGTTTTTTTCCCCCTTTTATGGGAGAGGAACAGGGTACTTGATATGCTCAGAAATAATCCAATCTAAAACAGTCCTGATCGGAAGATGCTCTGTGTCAAGTTTGGGTCTGCATCAGACAAATTCTGGCAATAAACTTTCTTCAGGGACTGGCGGGAGGGAGTGGCACCTATTGACAAATTATTGGCAAGGGGAGGTAGTTGAACTGCTTTCCAGAAATGTACTGCTTTTAGGTGGTGACACATTTTTCCTCCTTTATTTCTTTGAGCCAACTTGGGAGACACTTGGTGAGTACCTTTCCAAGTAACTGCTGCTAGCACCAATTAGAGGACAAAATTCTTAGTTCTTAATCCATAAATTACAGATCAAGATTCACAGCAAACTCTTTGAACAAATTGCTGTTCACAAAACCTTTGGTTTTCAAGGTATGGTGAAATGCTAGAGATTTGCTGTTAGAATTAACAAAATGTTATAAACAATCTTCTTATTACTTCGTCTTCCCTATGCCCTCCTCCCCACTTGAAAAAGAAATATCCCGAATGCCCAGAACTCCAGATGGGAAACAAGGCCAAACCATCTGAAGAATTAAAGAATTTCTGAATCTTTGTCTTTCTGAGTGCTGAGCCTTCTCTGCATCTGGGGTTTACACAGTTATCAGCTGCTTTTAAAAATTAAAACCTTTCTGTTTGTAAAGCAGCCACCTCCTTTCAATTGTTGAAATCATGCCCAGATCTGAGGTTTCTTGAAATCCTTGTTTAGTGGAATCTAAGGGTGACCTAACTCCGTAGTTCAGAGCTGAGCTGGTTGTGCAAGAGAAACAATCAAGAATTTGCAGCCCTCTCCAGGATTCACAGATTCACCGTCACAGAGCCTGGGAAAGGCAGTTTCTGTGGGCAAAATAAATTGGGTTCCAGGCTGTTGGTGGCACCTACTCTGGTGAGAGTGTGCACATGTGGGTTTGCACACGTGTGGGCCTGGAGTGTGTAGTGTGTGGGTGTGGGGGGGAGGTGGTGTGTGTGTGTGTGTGTGTGTGTGTGAGAGAGAGAGAGAGACAGACTGAGGAGGGTGGGGGCTCCCAGTGAGGTGGCAGGGTAGAAAGTGCTGTGTCAGCTCTTGATGGATAGGCTTTTGCTTTCTTTTTGTGTCCTCCCAAGCTATCCTCCGGAGGGAGTTCCCCTGGCTTTGGGGGAAGGACTGTGATTTTGGTCATTGGTCTCTGCCCTGCATGTATGCCATGTCCCCTTTGCCACAGAGCACGGGGCGGGGCGGGGGGGGGGGCAGGTTGTCCCGGGAAGGAGCGGGATGAAGGGAGGGAAGGGGCAGGGAGGCAGGTCAGGGCTTCCACAGGATCATGTGATTCTATTGTCTGCAGACGACTTGTTGTTTCTGGTTAATATGCCAGCAGGGAAGCGATTCCTGCTGCTGTGCAGTGGAAGCACTTGGGGAGTGTACCATTCACCCAATTGCCACCTGTATTATTACCATCATTACTATTACTCTTATTATTTAATCTTGAGTGTAGTGGTGCTTCCTCTGACATCCCTCCCCCACCCCTGGCTCTTCCCCATCCCTGTCATGCCTCAGCCCTTCTCTGGGTAGGGTGTGTGTGTGTGTACTGGGAACTTCACAGGATTGTTAATACAGTCCTGCTTTTTTTTTTTTTTTCCTGTGGTGGGTGGATGCTGGAGCCCAGATGGAGCTGGTTGGCTGGAGGGCTCTCTCTCCTTTTGTGACTGCCCAAGCCTTGCTTCTTGTTTGCAAACCTGCCAGGGACGGAATGCCTTGATTTTCCCAACATCATGGTGCGCTGAAATCTGCTTCCTTTTCCAGCCTAGGGGAGTCGGAAGGGCAACTACCTTGTCTCCATTATCTCTGAGTAGAGCTCAGAGTCATGGCCAGAGCCACTGCTGTGGCTTATCCGTCTCAAGAGAGATCTCTTTCCGGAGACCTTGTGGTCTCCTTCCCGAGGCCCCTGAGGGGCCATGTACCATCTGTCCAGGGCATGGAGGAGCCCTTCAGCCTCCAGGCAGGAGGGATGTCTCAGTGGCCAGTCTGTTTGAAGGAGAGGCCTGGACTGCTGCTGGGGCCCAGAGGAGCTGGTGGGCAGGGGGGTGAAGCCCATTTCAGAACTGGGCATTCAGTCTTGAAAAGAGAACACCTCCCAGGCCCAGGGTTTCCAAGTCCTGGCCACAAGGATAAAGGTTAATTTGGTTGTTTTTCTGTGATATTTTGAGAGCTGGATTGGAGAACATGAAATGTAAGCCCCTCTCTTCAGCCCAGGAGATCCAAAAGCCCTAACATCCCAGTACATTATATTTTAACCCTAGGGATATATAAAAATTATAATAGCTCTTACTCAAAGAGGAAGGAGCACACAGAGTCCATTTTACCCCTAAGGAAATTGAAGATTCCTGGTACAGAAAATGGGAGAAGACTCTTATCCCAAATAAATTTATAAATGGTTCCCAGGCTTTGGATTTGACGCCTGTTTTGAGCATTTTCCAAGAAAGGTAACATACAGTAGTGACTTTTCAGGTGTAATAATGGGAATCCTGTAAATTCTTCTGTCTGTAAGTAGGTCAAGTGCCTTCTTTAATATCCAGCAATTATTTGATAGTGCCATATGTATGAAATTGGAAGAACATCAGTATACCAGAGGCATCAATGGGGCTGAGATACAGAACCCAGGGCCCAAGCAGGTTTGAGGGCTCTGACAAGCATCTGGGTTATTACTGGGTATCAATTATCAAGTGTTTGGAGTGAGTTTGCAGATGTAAAAAGCCCTCACAGTGAGGATCTCTAGTAGAGATAGATGCGTGAACAATAACTGAAATGTATAACTGAAATGTGGGAGGGATGTGCTTTAGCATCTGGAATGCCAGTTAAAAGTTAATTGCTCCTAGTGATTTGTCCCAGTTCCACCATGAATTTTATGCAATTTAGTGCAAAGATTAAATGGATATCCCATAAGTAAAATCCCTAACAGGGTCAACCTATCTCGCTGGGAGGTAGATAAGAGACTCTTTGTAATTCCTGTCGAGCTCAAAAATGAGAGGAGCCCAGTATTTTTGTAATTCATCTGTGACCTTAGGAACAAAACAGGCTCATGCAGATTAAGTAACATGAGCAAGGTTACACAGCCAGTAGGCAGTAGAAAAGGTCTCCAAATTCTGTTGGGATCCAAATTCCATGCTCTTAGCCATCTGTCTTCCTTGGATTGAGAAATATCAACTGTAGGACAAGCATCCACAGGATGTGGGAGTATATGAGGTTAGTTGGGCACGGGCTGGGGGATGAACAAACTTTTCGTCTCCATTGTATACCTACAGATATCCCTGCTGGTAGCAGTGATGGTGGAAGCGATCCATTCACATACTCTTTGTTTCCCTTAATGGCTAACAAGTACAGTATTGGATGTGAAAATGGGAGAGACACATTAAACAATGTACTGAAGTTCTCTTTATGGAACTTTCTATAAGAAATAGATTGGGGAAAAAAGAAATAGATTGGGAATTTGAACATACGTTGTGTGGAAGTCAATGTATTATGGTAGTGGAAGAGGCAGAAAAAGTGAATGTGGACATAAGGGTTCTACCCTGGCACTGCCAATTAGTCACTCGGTAATATCTGACAAATTGTTTCCTCTCTCTTGGACTTCAGTTGCCCGGTCTATCCAGTGAGAGAATGGATTAAATTATTTCTTGAAGGCTTCTCCAGTCTTTACATTTTGTGATTCAATTCACCAAAAATAGTATGACAGTGTTGCCTGCAATCCCCTTCAGATCTTGGTATCATTGCTCCTAATAGGCCTCATTCCATTATTAACTGCACTCAACAATAATTATTTGGTGTCTCTAATGTAATAAGGATCTACATATCCTCAAGTCATTTTTTTTTGTGAATGTATGCATTATGAAAGAGTTGCCAGTATCGAGAAGAGGACTGGTTGTGATGTGACTGCAGTTTGCCATTTCCTGGTGGGCAAGTGGAACACACTTTCTGAATTGGACTCTTTGCATATGCTGACTGCATATAGAATGTCAGAAAAGGTTGTGCTTAAGATAATGACGTGAAAATTACCTTCTGGAAGACTCATTTAAAGTGCTTACACTTGAGCAATGAGAGCACAGGCGCACATCACTTAGATTTTCGCCAAAGGACCCGAGAGGTCACCTGGTTCAGCCCTCCTGGGGATCACACCTCTGCCGGGCACTCGCAGCTCAAGCCTGGAAAGGGCTGTGGAGGACTTTGCAGAGATTGCCGAGTCTAACCCTGCCTGCTCCTCGTTTTTGCAGGTGTCCTGGGGCGGGGGGAGGGGGCAGTGGCACCGGAAGGGAGGTGAGCAGGCTTCCAGTGCCGCCGCCCAGCGCCGCTGGAGAGAGCTTAACCCGAGCCTGCCCTCGGTGTTTTACAGGCCGGCGCAGGACATCTCGTTGCCGCTGTCAGCCCGGAGCTCCCGACCTCACAGTCCTACTTCTTCCCTCACGTCTGGGGGCTCCTTGTCCTTGCTCCAGTCTCCGCCAGCCACAAGATTGTCTCCTGCCCAACACCCCTTGGCCCCCAACCAAGGAGACCACTCAGCTCACCTGCCTAGGCCCCAGCAGCATTTCCTTCCGACCCCGGCTCACCAGAGTGATCATTTTCGGCTCCCTCAGCCTGGCCTGAGTCAGCCCCCTCCGCAACAGCACCACCACCACCATCACCAGCAGCAGCCGGGAGAAGCCTATTCAGCTATGCCTCGGGCTCAGCAATCCTCCGCCTCCTATCAGCCAATGCCAGCCGACCCTTTCGCTATCGTTTCCAGAGCCCAGCAGATGGTGGAGATCCTGTCCGATGAGAACCGGAACCTGCGGCAGGAATTGGAAGGATGCTACGAGAAGGTGGCGAGACTGCAGAAGGTGAGGCCTCCGTTTCGGGATATCGGGGTCTTCTTTCAGTCTCATGTGTTTCATATTGACACAAGTCTCCACTCGTTGGTGCCTTCATGACTTCCGCACGGGTCTTCTGGATTCCCGGGTCCGAAGGTTAGGGGTGGATCCCAACTTTGGAAAAAGCCTTCTGCCTGTCTTTCTAGGAAGAGTCACATTTTACATTTATGGGGTGAGAAAAGAACTTATTTGTACAGTTTTCCCAGACACCATAGCCCTGATGAAAACCTAATTGATGGTTTTTGAATTCCAGGAGGCTGAGAAACTTCTTCATAAGGTCAAGAACACTTGACGATGCCTGTATAGGGGAAGGTCCTGCCAGCCTAAAGGCCTTTTGTCTTGATTATATTTTCCCAAATAACTGAATTTGGGACTTAAATGTAAAGCCATAATTCCTACAAAAATCTCCCCACTGACATTAGATCCTGCCCTGCCTTGTTCTGGAAAGGGCTTAGAACACTTTTCCAAGTGGGAGTCCTCATAGTGACTCTTTTTCAGCACCTCTTCCTTTGCCTCCTTTTTGCTTTGGTTTTTCCCTGCAGCTCACATTCAACATCTGCTTTCTTTGGTGTGTGTGGGGGGCATGAGGGGCTTACCACCACAGCTGGGTGACAGGTGAAAGCCCTAGGCTGAGGAAGTAGAAAAAGGAGTGTGCATCCCATAGAGTTCACATTCTTCCCTGGGCCCCTCCTGTCTCCTCCAGCTGGGACTTTAGCTCTTGAGTGCCCTAAGCTAGGAACCTTAGCTCTTGGCTGTCGGTAAATAGGGTTATACCTTTGGCAGCCTCTTGGCAGCTTTTGTCATTGTGGAGCTCATGTGGTTTGATCTCCCGACAATGTGAACTGTTCCGGGGAGGTGAGGGTGAAGGTGTGGAAGGGAGGGGACTTTGCCCGGTTTTGTTCAGCAACTTTGTCCTTAGGAGACACCCAGGAGTGGAAATTTCAGGGGCCCGAATGAAACTGAGAATTCGTAAACACCAGATCTGGGTCTTACAGGAGAGGAGGGCTTACTGTCAACTGAGAGTTTTTATGTAACTGCAACCGCCCCCCCGCCACAGTGTTCCAAAATCTGGATGGGGTTTTGTTGGGGTTCAGGGATAACTGTTGCTCCCTGGCTTTGCCCCCAGTTTTACATTTTCTGCCTCCTCTCATTGAACTATACCCACCCCTCCCATCACATCGGTGCAACAAATTAATCATACTCACATGCTGAAAGCGGACTGGCCCGATTTGGCTGATTGGGTTTCACTGTTGACACCCCTCCCCAAACTCTCTATTCAGGGTGGCCCCAGCCCCACCTTTGATGTAGTAATCGGGAAGGTGAGTGACAGGGAAGAGGCGCAGAGTAGGATTTGTGGCGTTTGCTGTTGCTTGTTCTCCAGGGAAGGGTAGGATGCCTCGACCAAGTATAATTGGCACAGCTTGAGGGCTGGGGGGAGTGAAGGATGACCCAGTGCTGCAGTGGGTTAGAGGCCTAAGTGGGGTGGAAGAGGACAAAGAAAGTGGAAGGGGAATGGTGGTATCAGCTGATGCTAGAAAAAAAATACAGAGGCCCGAGGCTCATGAGCAGAATAATGAGACAGAAACCCACCACCACCTCCCTCTTCCTTGCCCCCACCATCCCGGACCAAACCAGTGGATCTGCCCTTTTGTGACTTCTTTTCCTGGGAGGTCCTGTCGATGGATGCAAAACTTGCCCATTTGGAGGGTACAGTATCTACAAGGTGGGGGTGGGTGGGAGGGGAGTAGAGAAAGATCTCGGTACCAGATCTGGAAATAGTACTCTGAAGAGCGTGAGTCAAGGGCCTGCCTTCCAGGTGCGGCATTCTGTGGGGAACTGAGAAGCCTTGCCCTCTACAGGCTGCCTAGTGCAGACTAATACCAACCCTGCTCTTTCAAATGGAAATGTTTATTTTCTGTACCCAGCACTTGAATTTCATGCAAAAGCTTTATCAGGCCCAGGCCTTGCAGATCTTGTCTCTAAATGCCATTCACCACCAGTTTTCACCTTCTGTGCTGCTATCTTGGTGCCATCTGCAAGGAGAAAAACACTCTGGGAGTCTGCTCTTTTCTGTGGTGTAAGCCTCATTTGTTTGCAGGCAGCCCTGCCTCGGGCATAATTTTGGAGCTGGGCAGGTGGAATCTGAGTTGTTTGGTAACCCCACCTTTTCCCCAGTCTCCCCCTGGGGGCCTGATATTTCTCCCCATAAAATACCCTGAGCTTTGTTAAGGATAGTGGGAAACTGAGAAGGAATGCAGAATGGTTGCAGGAGTCAAATTTAATTTGCAAATTGCTTAATAGGCCACGGGGTTTATTTATCTTATACAAATTATATGCAAATATCTCTGTGGCTATTTCATGTGCAGTGAAGCTGTACTGGTTACAGAAAGACTGGAGTCTAATTTCTTATTTTCTTCCTGATTCAGGCTGATTTGGGGCAAGACCCTTTCTTTTTGATGTTTTGTGTGTATGGTTTTCCACCCCCCCCCCATTTTACAAGATTTGCAGTGGTGTCATAACACACAACTCTGAGCATGAATTTCTGTTCAAAAATCTGTACTGGTTTCCCACTGACTATGGGATAAAGTCCAAATACCTGGCATTGAAGCCCTTTTATGATCTGACTCCAGTCTATCTTTACAGCCAGATCTCACCAACTTCTCCCTGTGTACCCCACAGTGTCCAGCCAAATGAGACTGCTGGTCATCCTGGGAATGCATTTGCTCACTCAGAATAGAATACCCTTCCCCTCACCTCTGCTCATTGAAATCTGACCTAGGTTTTAGGATCTGACTCGAAATGCCACCTTCTGCCTGAAATTGGTCTCCTCTCCCCTCATTCCAACCAGGAATAGCCTTTTCCTTCCTGGCACCTTCGTAGCACCCACTTCTGCTGTTCTGAATAAGGCATACTTCTCTGTATTCTTTTACTTCATTAGATTGAAAGCTCCTTGAAGGGAAATGATCGTGTCCTCATTCATATTTACAGACCCCATGGGTATTTTAAAGAGTTAAAGAGTAAGTATTTGGCCATTGGCAAAGGTTTGTTAGAGTGAACTGAATTACTGCATAAGGCTGAGGTTTGGAGTTTTTAGGGTTCGCCTTGGCCACTAACTTGATTTCCGAAAGATCACTTTCATTTTTCTTTTTGCTAAAATGGAAAGAGGTGTTCTTGTGAAGGCTGATAGCCGGGCCAATAGAAATAAACATGGGAAAGCGCTATGGACACTCTGGAATAATGTTATCTACATACTATATACATTATTAATAGTATTTTGAAAATTAAGAAAATTCTTACACAGAAATGAAAATCATTTATAACTGTACTTAGGAAATTTATTCTCTCCTACTACCTTCTCTGAAGACAGAAACTGTATTTGTTTTTAACCTGAGGGAGTCTGATGACTCTGTGAGTTAGTTGCTCAGCTGAAGGTTGACTTTAGAAATCCTTCTTGAGAGGTGCCTGTATGGCTCAGTCAGTTAAGCGTCTGATTCTTGGTTTTAGCTCAGGTCGTGATCTCAGGGTTCTGTGATTGAGCCTTGTGTTGGGCTCCATGCTCAGCAGAGAGTCTGCTTGAGATTCTTTCTCCTTCTCCCTCCCTCTGCACCTCCCCCACCCAGTACTCAAGTGTGTGCACACACTCTCTCTCAAATAAATAAATAAATCTCTTTAAAAAAGAAAGAAAGAAATCCTCCTGGGAAACTTTTATCATATGACTGTGTTATGCTGGCCTCCTAGCCATCTGTAAAGCCCTGGGAGAAGCCGTCATTAAGGATTTGTATATATGTTTTCAGACCATCTTTCCCATTAAGCTCCTACCATCCCCACTATCTTTCCTTTTTTTTTTTTCAGGTGGAGACAGAAATCCAGCGTGTCTCAGAGGCATATGAGAACCTTGTAAAATCATCCTCCAAAAGAGAGGCCCTGGAGAAAGCCATGAGAAACAAGCTTGAGGGTGAAATTCGAAGGATGCATGACTTCAACAGAGATCTGAGAGGTGGGGTTCTCACTTCTGAAGCATTGGCCAAGATGGTGAAGGGAAGGGCTGAGGGAGGATACATTGAGGCTCTCAGTACTTGTCCAGCCCACTAGTATGGCCAGTAAATTGCAGAGCATAGACTAGGCTAGGTTTGGGGGACTGCAACTGAACTTGGTCCCAAGCTTGCTTAATTGAAGTGAGATGAGCTGATGTGTTAATCAGACAGTAACAGCCCCCCCCCCAACCCTGGGACTCCTGGACCCACCTGGCCTGCCCCCACAATCCATACTGCCTCTCTTCCCTTACAGATTTTGCAGAGAAGGCCTATCTTTGGCTGTGCAAGCTTGAAATAGCAATGTCTTCCATTGTTTCTGGGAACTCCTTCCTTTTATTTTTACCTTAACATGATAATACTGAAGATGGTGACAAATGACCACTTCAACACCTTTAAAACTGATGACTTTGGAGATATTTTTTATGTCTCTAGATTTAGACTGTCTTATTGATAAAATGAGACAACTGAACTTGGTACTGCTCATGTTCCCCTCCTAGCTTTGATGTTCCATGATTTTAAAGACCTCATAATAACTTTGATGCTCTTTCACCTGGTGAATGAAAGATGTCACATATTCAGGGATAGATTCCTTCATTGGAATTGAGAATTCTGCACTTAGGTTTTTGTCAGGGTGGGGTGAAAAAAGTGTTAAGCACTCAACTCCTCCTTTCCAAACATAGTTTATTTTTGTTTGCAGCTCCATATTTTAAGTGTATGTCTGTGTCACCTATGCCTTAGTAACAAGAAGAAGCAGGCTCATTCTGCCTAAGATCAGTACTTAGACGGTAAACACCATGTGCTTGGGAGTTTGTATATGAGGCCCTGTTGATTGTCTCTGAATTCCACAGAGCGTCTAGAGACTGCCAACAAGCAGCTTGCAGAGAAGGAATATGAGGGGTCAGAAGATACTAGAAAAACCATCTCTCAGCTCTTTGCAAAAAGTAAGTCTGACAGCTCTAGCAGCAGGTACTAATGTGTGGTTGGGAGTCAGATATGTAAAAAGGTTACACAGTTCTGCTTAATCCTTCTAGAATAGCCAGGGCAGAGCAAATGTCATCTAGGGATTCTTTTTCCTGTTCAAACATAAAGTTGGGATTCTTGTTTTTTTGTTTTTGTTTTTTCTTTCTAGGCCAAGAAGGCTGCTTGCTGTATTTAGTCACATCAATGTGGCTTCTTCTGTATTAAACCAGAGAAGCCCTTTGATATCACTGCTTTTGTCACAGCTACCTGAAAAGGACCTTAGTGAACATGGGGTCTCTTAATGTTGGAGGGATTTATTGTTGAAGGCTCCATGTGCTGGCTCTGGTAGAGATGGAATTAACATGGAGGATTGATGATTAGCCTTTGGAGTACTGAATCTGCATCTGTGCCTCCCTTAGTTAAACACCCTGTATTATATCATGTCATTGCATACTGGCACAGTGCAAGGGGAGCTAGAGGAGGACCTCGGCTATGGCCTGAGCTACTGCCTCTGGCCGTGGACTTGGAGGATGTGGGGAGGGCTGAACTATGTCTTCCTCATAATAGCATTTCCTTTGTCTGGAAATACTCGGAGGACCATGACAATGAACTAATCCTCCTCTTTATCGGTCCCTAATAGACTCCACCCAGCTAGACAATGCCTCATTCTTTTTAATTGCCACAATAAAACCAGCAATAAAAACTCTGCAGTGGATTGAGCCCATAGGGGGAAACAGATGAACTACCCTCAACTTCTGCAAATGCCTGTAATTGGTGTTTCCTACCCCCAGTCTCCGTCACCATGGCTCCCAGCTGGAGTAGTGCACAGTAGGGACTTGTCAGGCCCCATCTTTGCAGGACCTCCACATGACCCTTTCAAGTCACTCCATGCAGCTTCCAGTCTGCTTTTACAAGTTTGTTTGATCTTTACTTACAATATCCCCCTCCCTTCCTGGGGTTGCTCTGTTGTGTGCTGGCCTCAGAAGTGGGGCTTTTTTTTTTCTTCCTCATTTCCCTGAGCCTCCTGTTTCTTTGTCAGTATGTCTTAGAGGGAAGAATGTAGTTTTTCTGGTGTCATCAGTACCTAGTATAAATTGTTGTGAAGTTGCTATAGTGGTGTCACTCACGGTTACCCTGGAAGCTAGTTCCCTGGTGGAGAAGGTAATGGCCTCCCAGGACAAAAGAGAACAAAAGAGAAAACGTATGGATTCTGGCCCTTGGATCTGCTGGTTCATACCCTTCCTCCTTGTGTGGCGATGGTATCTCAGGTGTCCTGGGAGCTCTGTTGGTGGTTTATAAAATGTGGGAACCTAGTAGATAAAAACTGTATTTGCAGCAGGGGGAAATACTGCCACATGGTTCTAGAAGGGAAAAGTAGACTCCACTTATAGCAAGCAAGGAAGAGGGCATGGCTTGTGGCCTCAGTTCTTTTTGCCTTTGGACATCAACAGGGGGCTGCATGGTTGGAACTGTGGCGAGAGGCAAGAAAGCCGTCTTGAAAAGCCTCCCCTGAGGAATGTGCTCCACTTACCCTTGAGAGGCCAAACCGACTCAACCCAAGGAGAAGGCAGTCTGGTTAGAAAGAGTTTAGAACAGCCTGGCCTTAAGTGTGGGCTCCACTATGTACTTACTAATTGTGAGACCTCATACCAGTTCCTCAAAGCCTCTGGGTCTCTGCTTTGTCATATACAAAATGGGGAAGAGAGAGTAACACTTTCCTTGCAGGGTTTTCTGAGGAGTAAGTTACTTGATGTGCAATAAGTATTCAACAAATGCTCATTTCTTTCCGAGGTACAGCTGAATAGATATATAAAGTCAGAGTGGGAAGGAAGGTGAGGCTGCCCTCTTAGTTTCTCTTATAAACTTAAGTATCATGGTCTCCAGAGGAAGGGCACACTACCTCCAAATGAGAATCCAAATTGCTCCTTTGAGTCTCTGGTATGAGGTCTGTCCTAGTTAAAAGAGGAGGGACCTAGAAATTCAGAAACTACCTGTGTCATGGGCTTCTGTACCTACAACACAATCCTGGATTTATTTCAATTGGAAATTAATGTTAGTAAAGAGTAGGGTTTGGAGTTTTATATATTCTGTGAAATACCATTTTCATTTTTTTAAAGATTTTATTTATTTATTCATTACTCATAGAGACAGAGAGAGAGAGAGAGGCAGAGACACAGGCAGAGGGGGAAGCAGGCTCCATGCAGAGAGCCTGATGCGGGACTCGATCCAGGTCTCCAGGATCACGTCCTGGGCTGCAGGCGGTGCTAAACCACTGCGCCACCGGGGCTGGCCCCCATTTTCATTTTGATTTAATATATTATCATGAGATAATGGGAAAATTTGAGGGGCTTAGTTGCTCCTACCACTTGAAGAAATAAAATTGAAGAGACAAGCCTACCTGTTCCTCTGGTGTGTGTGTTTGTGTATTCTTTGCATAACACCTTTCATAACACTTTGCATCTACTTTCACATTGCTTCTGCACAACCATTGTTAAGTGACTTTTCTGAATTTACACAGCAAGTTACCGGTAAAGCCAGCGAGAGAGTGCAGATCTTGGGTCTGCTGGTTCTTTTAGCTGTGTGTTAGAGAATGTTTAGTAATGGGTATGATTGTCAGTGTGCTCGGGTAAGTTTTTGAGCCAGCTCTGGAATGGCAGTAATGATAATTCATGTCTTGATAGATAAGGAAAGCCAGAAGGAGAAGGAGAAGCTGGAAGCTGAGCTAGCTACTGCCCGTTCTACCAATGAGGACCAACGGCGACACATTGAAATTCGAGACCAGGCCCTGAGCAATGCCCAGGCCAAGGTGGTCAAGCTGGAAGAAGAGGTATGTGTAGTTTTCTTAGGTAGCATATGAGCCTGAGGTGGGAAAGAACTGGGGAATCAAGGGCACTGGGGTCTCTCCATTTTGGTGTACTGGCAGCTACACAGTCCCCCAACAGGAAGGTACTATCTGCTTTTTTTTTTTTTTAAAGATTGATTGATTGATTGAAGAGAGAGTGCATGAGAGAAAACACAAGCTGGGGGAGGGGCAGAAGGGGAGAGAGAGACTCCCAAGCAGGCTCCCCACTGAGAGTGCAGCCTGACTCCAGGCTCTGGGGTTCAATCTCACAACCCAAGCCAAAGTCACAAGCCAGACACTTAACTGACTGAGCTTCCCAGGCACCCTACCATCTGCTACTCCTAGTTAGAGCTGTGCTGATGTGAGTGGACTTTGATTTCTTTTCTCCTCTCTGCAAGTTCCTTCATTTGGCTCCAGAATAGAAAATCACCAAGGTCAAGGAGCAATTTCCATTTGCTCCTTCACATAATAAGCTAACCACCCCCTCCTAGTTCTTACTATGGACCTAGCTCTGCCTTAAGCCTATGACAAATATATACTTTTTAATTCCTCCTCTTTTAGGGCTTTAAAGCTTTATCTTAGGAGAACTATAAAATGATTCCAGATATTTTAAAGTACTCCAAGGATCTTAAATCAAAATAGTCCTGGTCTCCCCATACTCGGTGGGAAGTTGGTCTCCTTACATAAAAATAAGTAAATAATCTTAATGGCTATGCCCCTTGTCCTAGGATTTATTTTGCAGATTGGTTTTGAAGTAGAAGCAACTTGAAGGGGTCTGGAACAGGTTGGGACCCAGGGACAATTTACAGTTTATGGCAGGCCAGGAGCTGTGCCCTGGGTCTTCTGGCTAGATTGTGCAATGTAGGTACATGGTGAGGTGAAAATGTCGGTTATTTGTGTGCAAGGATGGAGTTTTTCTTTGACAAATACAGGGGCTCCCAAACCACGAAGCATATGATAAATATGTATCTGATTAGTCTTAATGTATATGTTATTAGATTGCAACACTGAACTGTGTTCATGTGAAATAGAGGGAATGTGCTGCTGGTCTGTCATTAATTAATCTTGGATGTCCGTTGTCATTGTATTGAAGTACTACTAACTCTTCAATATTTTGTACTTCAGGGAATGGGTGTGTTCCAGCAAAAATTGATGCCAAAGTGTAACTTGGTGAAGAAAATTTCACATCTCACTCACTATTCTAAAATTTGAATTGTTTTAAGAGGAAAAAATCACCTCCATTGTGACAAATTGGAAGCTTTATAAACTTGAGACCAAAAAAAGTGTTTAGTGACCCTCAGCATTTTGCCTCTTGTATTTGAGCTGTTTTTCCACCTTTCAGTGATTGCCTGCTGCTTCTCTCTCAGTAGAGGAATGGTTCTAGTTCTTAAAGTCTGACTTATAGATATCCTTTGCTTTGGGGGTGGAGATTAAAATGCTTATTGGAGGGGCGCCTGAGTGGCTTAGTTGGTTAAGCGTCCAGCTCCTGATTTCCACTCAGATCATGATCCTGAAGGGTTGTGAGATCAAGCCCCGCCTGGGGTTTGTGCTCAGCAGGGAGTCATCTTGAGATTCTCTCTCTCTGCCCCTCCTCCTGCTTGTTCACACTCTCATTCTCAAAGAAATAAAACTTAAAAAAAAATGCTTGTTGGAGCTGGGTTGTGGGTTCATACATTTCCAGTAGGTAAGGTCAGCTAACCAATGATGTCTTTGACCTGAATTGCTTAATCATTAAACTGCAGGTTGTATAAAATCAGGCTAATGTCTTGCTTCATCAGCTGTCTACATCAGAAATTCTGCAAAGTTGCTTTATTGAACATAAGGAATACTTGTATATGTCTGGTATCCAGACCTAGGAGCACACCCTTTAACCTTTTGCTACACCTCATATATTCTTTTTCTTCCTTTCTTTTTGAGGAAACCACAGAGTAAATTACAGAACAAGGATAAGACTGTATTCTTTTGGAGAAGGAAACACTGAGAGACTGGCTGAGAAGTAGCTTGCTGGTGGTCACATGGCAAGTTTTGGGTAGAGCCAGTAATAAAACTGGAATCTCATGACTCTTCATTCCCTAGACCTTGCTGCTTGTCTCCCTGGCTGAATCATCCTTTGGTTCCATTCCCAAAGAGAAAATGTGGGCACTTGTTCAGATCTAGTAACCTCTGCATCTTTTCATTAAAGAAAAAAAATGTGTCGCCCATTGGGCTCCCCTTTCTCAACAAGACTATGAGAAGCTTGTCCAGACTGATTTGAGATTAGGGTATATACACAGCCCTGCTGCCCCTCCAGGAAGAGTACCCTTCTAGTAGGAGATAAATGGGGACAAAGACCCTGCAACTATATTGGTTTGCTGTGTCCTAGGGCTCAGTGGCAACTGGTTGTTAATCATGAAAATAATATACAATATACATCTAAGAAGAGGATGTTAATTTGTAGTTCCCACTGGGCAGCCCTCACTGAAAGAGTTGCCTGGTATATATTTCTGGCTTCAGACTTCTGAGGCTTTTCTGGGCATTCGTTCCAGAGATTTTTAGTTGCTTTCCAGGGCCCTGCCCCCAAAACCCATAGATCTCCAATTTAAGAAAGAAGTTCTAAAAATTGGACGAGGATTCAATCATGACATCTAGTAGCTATATCTCTCAAATGAACTCCTTAATTATTGCTAATTTTTAGCTCTCATCCAGCTTGTACTTTTGTGCAGAGTCTAGTTGTTGGGAAATTCTGAATTGTTGCTAAAGGAGGTGGAACATTTGATGGAGAAAGCAGGCTGGGAGCCTTCTACCCAATGGAATTGCAAAGGCAGAGGCCATGTAATGTCTTCCAGACTCTCAAGCCTGGTCACCTCTAGCACATGTAGGGGCTTGAAACATGTCTCAGGAAAAAATCCACTGATTTTTATTTTCTTTCCTGTTTTAGCAGCCTGTCAGAACTGGGTTTGCTCCTGGGTGGTGGTTGTCTTATCTCCTTTTTGATATTCAAAGGAAAATATCCCTTTTTCTTACTCTCAAATACATAAATTAATCATTGGATTTTTGCTCTTCCACTGTGACTCAAGCCCCATTAGGGCTTGTTCTATCTGGGGTACAATTTTAATGTATGGGAACTAGACTCTGGAGCTAGTCTAGTAAGGAGTCTTCATTGTTCACAAAATTAGTGAGTATCTCTAAATCAAGAAGGGTATTCATGAATAGAAAATGTATCCCTCTATGTGTTGGAGATAACTTACGTAAAGTCATTTTTGAAGGCAGGTGAATATGTCAGACCTTTGCCTATGTCTCATATAAACAGAGAATTTAGTTATGGCTTACACATGGCACCATGAGTTTTCCTTAGAAGTTCTTCTAAGGGAAACCTCTGTAGTCTACTTAGCAAATGAGAATGAAGGAAACTTTCCCAAATTAAGTCGTTAGTCTAGGGATCTTTTCTTAGCCAACTAAGTGCAAGGTCAGGTCAATACACATACCAAATTATTATGTTGTACACCTGAAGCTAATACAATGTTATATGTCAAATATATCTCAATAAAAAAAAGATGGTCAGGGAAAAATTATGACTAGTTTTAGTGGTCCAAGAACCCTTGCATACATTTATGTCTTTCTCTGTACAAAGTCCTCATTTAGATGCTCTTCCTGAAATTCATTTCATTTTTCTAATCCCATTAAGTCTCTTGCTCATGATACTCTTCACTGTACTCTAAGCTCTATACAGAAATATGCCTCAGGCTTACAGAGAACCTTCTCCTGCAATCACAACTTCTTCCTCTTCCAAACTCAGCAGAGATTCTCTGATGGACCCTGTTCTGTTGACATCAGAGGAGGTATCTTGCTGGGAAGGTGCTAGCACTTTTACTAAAGGAGAGACCTGTTTTTTTTATGATTCATTGTGATCCAGGTCTTGCCACAAATCTGCAGCCTATGCAGCAAACCCCGGCCAAGGTAAATGGTGCCTTTTCCATCCTTGCCCTTATCTTTTGGGATATGTATGAAGGCTGTACTGAAGTGGAGGCTCAGTAAACTCCAAGTCTAAAGAACTATGAGTCCCACGGCAACCATGGTGTTCTCGCACGTGAAGGGACCTCCCCCAACTTCTCCCCCCTCAACTACCACTAATTTGATCTCACTGGAGAGTTTTGACAGATGCCTGGCATATCCCACTTACAAGGCTCAAGGCAGCCCAGGCTTCTGGCTGACTACTGTCTTATGATGATCCAGAGCTGAACCACTGCTTGGGTAATTGTTTCAGGAATGGTGGGAAAAAGGCCCTGGCAAGATCAAAGATGGAAGATGCTGTGGGTGGGCTGCTTACTAAGCGGAGTGCACTAGAAGGGACAGAGGGAATGTGGGAGGGCTGGAAACAACAACAACAACAACAACAACAACAACAACAACAACAAACCAAACCAGTGAGCCTTGTTCTTCAGCTTTAGGCTAGAATGACAGCCATGGAGATTCAAGGAAAAGGGGCCCAAGTGTTAAATTTTTCTGAACTGCAGTGACTCGGGATGATTTAGACATCGCAGTGATAACTCTTGATGGCTGTGCATGTTCTGGTGTCCTTTTGCCACTCCACTCAATTCTTCACAACAAAATTCATATTGTTTCCCTTCCATTTCCACCACTCTTTCATGGCTGATCTTTCTTATTTCTAATTCCCTTGCCATTTAATTGATTTGTCATTTGGGTTTTGGAGATGGACAGTTTTATGCTGTCACACTTATCCACACAGTACCATAACTAGTCCCCTTTCTCAGTGTTAGAGGAAGATGTGCTAGGCAGAGACGCTTATGTCTCATCCAAAATAATCTTCAAACAATAGCATATTGTGTGAACTCACACAATAGTTATGATGGATTATAAATGTGGTTGAAAGATCTGAGGATGCTAATTATGTGTGCATTTAGAGCATTGATAAGAATTCAGATAATGTACATTTTGTACCCAGGAATCTTCCAGGGTGTTCTGCTGATGGATTATTGGCTTATTTG